TACTAATGAGTCGTCCAGTCTTGAAGAAGCAATAAATAATGATGTTGACGACGGGCACAATTCTGATACCGAAGGAAAAAGAAAAATTGCCAAGTATGATTACTCTGGATTAGATAATTTTACGAAGTCATGTTTTCATAATTTACACACTGAAGATCTAAATACGAAAGAACTAAATGAAGAAAATAATGCAACAAATTTTCAAAATATAACTAAGACCATGTTAAATAATACAGATGGACAAAAGTTAGATAAAACTTTGGAGAATTTTGATGATTTAACGGACTCCTCATCTGATATGGTTATAGATAAAGAAAAATCACAAAGGAAATGTTTAAAGAAAAAATTGTATACCGATAATTGTGAAATAGATTCGATGGAGCCAACTTCAAAGAAAGCCAAAATGAATGATGATAATCAATATAGCGTATTAAATTCATCTAATGACGTTACACAAAGTAATATTCAAACGGATTCAAATAAGTGCCAAGTTAATTTTGATGAAAAAATTTTTAAGAGTGCATCTTTATTAAGTTCAGAGCCTTTGAATGAAAATTCAGTTGAAAGCTCTAAATCTGCAGAAAATGAAAGTATAATTTCAGAAAATGCAAGTCAAAATAATACTGAATATAAAAAGACACATGATAATGCATTTACTCGTGTAAGTAATATAATACGTAGTACATCTGAAGATAAAAATTGCGCGAATGCAAATCCTAAACTCGATGACACAAATGACGTTCAGAAACGATATACAAGATTAGCTCTTTTGAAAATAAGAGAGGAGCTAAATGAATTATCAGTAACTGATAGTCATCATGCTCACGAATATTTTGTCGTTAATATGTTCAAAATTTTTTATTACTTAGAATCATCAAAAGCACAATATTCTGAGAATTATGAAGACTTTAAAAGCTATTCTGTACCGTCTGATGTATTACCTTTAAAATTAAAGACTGCTTCTGAAATTATAAACGAATTAAATAAATTTGCAATTTTTCCAAAAAATAATACTTCATATACTGATTTCAAGAAAGATATGCAAGGAAAAGTATTATATGACTGGATGAAAATTGATGCTATATATAAATTTGTGAGAGAAAAGAAAGAAATAGGAGCTAGTTTGGAAGAACTGATGGTAAGAACATTTATTAATATAATAATATGTTTATATGATCTGATAATTTATAATTTGATATAATTTCAGCAAAAATTTCGAAAGGACTTTGGAAAAGACCTATATAATATAGTTTCTCTTTTAATTGAAAATTATTTGTTTTTACATTCTGGTGTAACTACACCTCGATATATACATCACCATTATGCAAATCCTTGGTTGATACATTCTTATAAGATTTTTCGTTTAGAAAGAGAATCACTTTTACCAATACCTAAAGGTACTATATACTTAACAGAAAGTGAAACTGTTGGTGAAATTAATAGTGATGATAATAAAGATAATGATATTGATCATAATAAAAATTCATTGGAATCATCGATATGCGAAGATGTAACAATGATTAATAACTTCGAAAAAGAAGAAAAAGAAGAAAAGACATCTTTAATTGATAGTGGTACTACAGATCAAAATGCTAGAATTATAGGTCTCTCCGGTGAGAGTGAAAAGGAAGAAAATATATGTGCTGCAAAAAGATTACAGAGAAAGAGAATATCTTTGCTTCCACAAAAGGATGTATATACGTCCGCCAAAAGATTAGATCTTACGTAAGAATAAACGAGATATTATTAGTTATAGAGAAAAGATATATTTACATTTGATTGTACATATTAAAAAGTTTAATATATTTATACGCGCTCGCGCGTATGTGTGTGTGTGTATGTAACTGCATTTAATGATTTCAGTACTGCTGAGGAAATAAGGGTAGTCATGAAACCATGGATTCGTATAGATGGCGTTTTAAATCGTAGAGTATTGGATCGCATGTTGGGAGCAGTTTTAACATATTGTTTAACACATCCTGGTGTTATATTAGCCAAAGTACAAAATAGATTTAGTCCAGCTTTACAACCGTTCCACACTCGTGAATTGGTTGAGGTTTGAATACTTATTTTAACAATATAAAATAAATAGTTGTACATAATATTATATATATTCGTCAAATGCTTTATTTAATAAATAAATTCATTTGTATATGTTGTCGCTTAAACGACAATTCAATACTATAATATTGTAATATTGAATTGATAATACAACTTATCAATACGATTATAAAACCGATTATAAAATTAATTAAACGAATATTTAACTTTACTGTTGTAGATACTAGTTAAGTTAGGCTGTTTAGAGAAAAAGTTGTTGAAAAAACAACATGTGACTTTGTTTTCAAAGCCTGCATCTATTAAACCAAGTAAGTATCATTATTCATTAAAGTATCATCGATTATTGAATTATGTTCTTTTTGTTGTTTTAACATGTTACATTCTTGTTACAATTAGAAACGGACGAGGAGTGGGCGAACGAAGAAGAAATATTTATAGAGCCTTTGATGGGAGCGATAATAAAATTTAGTATATTTTTAAGTACTAAGATGTATAATTCGGATTTTATTCCATAACGATAATATAAATGTTACCGAGATAAATAAGATATAATCTGAGCTAAAGAAGTTATTGCGAATGTCGCGTTTCGTTTCATATACGAAACAGCCTTACTAGTCAACAAACGTGGAAGCGCTAGTGTGCCTGATGAAAAATATTTTTTCGTCGGGATATTTCAAATGTCTCCATGCCGAATATTATATTTTCATACTATTAATATCCGGAAGTGCATGTAACAATAATCTAATATCGTTACGTACTCAGGTATCGTATAGGTATCTTCGTACATTGACAAAAAAAGGTACGTTTATCAAAGGTCTTACTGATCAAGCTTAATTCGTTACCTTTTTTTTTTCTTTTTTCTTCTTTTCTTTTATATATAATTTGTTTTTTTTTTTTTTTTTGTTTTTTTTTTTTAATATGAACATATCTGTGATCGTAATTTATTAGGTGTCTTTTACGTTTAGATGACTTTTACATTTAACTAAAGCGTACATGTGAGTTCGTTATAATATTAATTTTTTATAAATTCTATTGTAAATAAATTGGTATTTACACAATATCATCAATAATGGTTTAAATGATGTAACTCCTATATACAGTAGAAAAAATTATTCTAACAAACAATACGTCATCTCATAATACAGATATATACACCGTATAACCGCATTGCATCGTCAGCGTCACGAGGTGTTGCAATTCTTCGAGGCAGCTGTAGATCGATGTAGGGGCAGTAAATTGGATCAGGTGAAGAGAGTATTGCTTAACTATAGTATGAGCGCACATCTTTCGACGCAAGTCCTGCAACACTTTCACACATCAAGTAGAAGTGGTGAAACGCTTTGGACATGCGGGTAAATTTAACCGATGAATTCCGCATTTTAACTGACAGAAAACGGATCTTCGAATAATAATTTGCGTGACCCTTGGGTATGACCTTTTTCATATATATGTAGTTATCAGAAGGAAATAATATAATTTCTATTGATCAATATATTCAAAGAAGAAATGGAATTTCCTTTAAACTGATCTTTGTATAATTTTTAATAGGATATTGTACTAATTAGAACGAAAGTATAGTATGACCCAATGAAATGCTAACACGGAATATAGATATGTAAATATATGAAAAATCATTCATGTAGATAAAAATAATGATTCGTAGATAAGCAAATATTAAACCTATTACAAAAACCAACGAATCCTACTATTCCACGCTTATACAGTCGATGAAAGTACTGTTACAATAAATCCATGATGCAACTTTGCATAATATATCCCTATCTCGTGCAGCATCCTACGTTGCCACCAACCATGAGCGCACTGATTGCATAAAAACATTGCATATAAAGAGGGGACGGACATAGGTACATGCTTGAAAGCATCGTCTCGACAATGATAACACTCGAAGCGATCTGATTTATAATAATCGAAGAAAACGGAAGAAAAAGAAGTAGTAGAAGAAGAAATCTTGCTTGTTAGCACATCGAGCTTCGATGTTTCTTTTCTGTTACCGCATTCGACACGCATCGAGTTCATCCTCCTCTTTAATGATCTCTAAAATCGAAAGTAGGTGACTTGGATCTTATAGTTAACAGTCGAACCATTTCAATTGGACGTACATCTATTTTATGAAAGTTAATCCTTCTTGCGTATGGTCCATAGAGTTAAAGGTCATCGTTTCTTGTGAAATAATTCCTCACGACACAAGGAAGACCTTCGTTGCCAAAAATGATTTAACCCTTGAACGATCTATTAGCCATAAGCGTATGATGAAGATATTGTAAGTCCATCCAGGATATTGAATTCAATGAGGCCTTCGTCAAGCTTCCTTTTCTTACAATTAGATCTGGATCTTAAAAAATTATATATATATATATATATATATATATATATATATATATATATATATATATATATAATATATATATATTTAGATATATTATGTATGTATTAAAATGGACTTTATTATGAAATATCGTTCGCACAATTTACCGTAAGTTTCTTTTATAAGTCATGAGAAGGCTTGTAAGAAGGATCGAAGGATAACTTAATAGAATCGTGCAGAATAAGATGGGAGTAGACGATCGATGTATTAATAATTACTTCCGTAATCGAGATATCTTTAAGTGGTGCAATATTTCGGAGTACATAAACATCTCGTGGGATGCTGTCGCGCTTTCTCCCCTCAATTTCTTTTACGATTCATCTCGCGTGACTGAGCGCGTAAGTTACATGTTCCTCCTGAAATTAAAAAAAAAAAAAAAAGAAGAAGAAATTACACGATTTTATGTAATTACGAATCACGGTCTTTTGTGCAAAAGATATTCCGTAACATAATATCCATTTTATCAAATAATAATCCTAATATCGATATTGTTAATTAATAAATTTCCATTCAAAGATATTACGACAAAAAAAATATATTTTATAGTTCTTAACATTTTATATTTTTCTTTATTTACTTTTAATCTTTTGTAATCCCTCGAAGACGAGTCGAAGTTTCACGATGCAAGTGTTTCATTTAAAACATTCGATGTGCATTCGAATGCTCGATTATCCGAATAAAACGAAGCGATCTTGGTGTAGACGTAATATGTAAGATCGATTGGTAACGATACGATACGGGATTCGTAATCCATAAGATATAGGACATAGGCTGCTTGCCTAGTTCGCATCTTTAATCCCACTCTTCTTCACCGTCACCGAGCACCGATACACCACCGTGACATAGTTATATACCGATTCTCCTTGTAAATCTTGCCGCTTGCACTAAACCATGATCCACAAACGCGGATGAGTCTCGGTATATATAAACCGGATTAGAGACCAAAGTTTGTCATTCACTCATCGCTACCCCATCCTGACAGAGAGGTTCTCTCTCAGGGAGAGCCTTAGGAGTATCGACGTGTTCTTAAAACACCCTTGAAAAAGTAAACACTCTTGAGAAGACTTCATCGTTTTCCTCCAAAAGGGGAAAACGAAAGATACTCCATCGAGCTTGTCTTCCACGGATCCATACGTGTTCAACGCGGATTTATACGTTACCATAAAAATGTTCAAGGTAAGCGACTAGTCCACAGAATATTTCTATATAGATATTGTTATAGAGATAGATGTAGCTATTTCTTTAAGATTTAATGGCTCTCTATATTTCTTATACACCGTTTGAATATTTCACATTGTCACGCTTACTTGTCTCTTTTATTTTCTCCAAGTAATTGATTAAATATGTCATTATTCCGTTAGATTAAAATTAATAATAATAATAATAAAATATCCATTCCTTTCTTGTAGTTTGTGTTAGCGACCATCATCATAGGTCTGGCTTTGGCACGGCCAGAGCCTCCTGTAAACTCTTATTTGCCTCCTGGTGCTAATGGCGGTCATGGAGGTGGTTTTGGTGGGCCTTCCAGCGAATACGGTCCACCAGGATTTGGCGGAGGAAACGGCGGAGGAAACGGTAGGGGGAACGGAAGACCACCGAGTAGTAGCTACGGTGCTCCTGGTGGTGGAAATGGATTCGGTGGAGGCAACGGCAACGGCAACGGCAACGGCAATGGAAGGCCATCGAGTAGTTACGGAGCACCTGGAGGTGGTGGAAATGGATTTGGCGGAGGTTCGGGAAACGGGAGACCTTCCAGCAATTATGGGGCTCCTGGAGCTAACGGGAACGGATTTGGTGGAAACGGCAATGGAAGACCATCGAGTAGCTACGGAGCACCTGGAAGTGGAAATGGATTTGGTGGAGGTTCAGGAAATGGGAAGCCTTCTAACAGTTATGGCGCTCCAGGAGCTAACGGAAACGGATTCGGTGGAAACGGCAATGGAAGACCATCTAGTAGTTATGGAGCACCTGGTGGAGGCAACGGATTCGGCGGAGCCAACGGATTCGGCGGAGGCAACGGCAATGGAAGACCATCAAGCAGTTACGGAGCACCTGGAGGTGGGAACGGCGGTGGATTAGGAAACGGAAGGCCTTCTAGCAGTTACGGAGCTCCCGGAGGTGGAAACGGATTCGGTGGAGGTCAACCAAGTTCTTCCTACGGTGCTCCTGGTGTTGGTGGCTCTAACGGAGGTAATGGAGGAGGAGGAGGAGGTTATGGAGGTGGAAATGGAGGTTACAACGGCAACGGACAGGATGAGAGTAACGTAAGCTTGAAATTTTAAGAGAAAAAAATTAACCGAATCATTTGGATTTACCTTCAATCATTGATTAATCAATGTATTAATCTTATATACTTTCATTTTAGGAACCTGCCAAGTACGAGTTCTCTTATGAAGTAAAAGACGATCAATCTGGAGCTGACTTTGGACATACAGAAAGTAGAGATGGCGATCGTGCTCAAGGCGAATTTAACGTTTTGCTACCTGACGGTAGAAAACAAATAGTTGAATATGAAGCTGATCAAGAAGGCTTTAAGCCGCAAATTAGGTACGAGGGAGAAGCAAACGGCGAAGGATATCCTTCCGGTGGACCTGGCGGTAACGGTGGCTATCCCTCCGGTGGACCTGGCGGTAATGGCGGTAACGGCGGTTATTCTTCCGGTGGACCCGGCGGTAATGGAGGAAACGGTGGAAATGGTAAGATTTACTATATCACAATTTGTAAGATAGTTTATTTGTTTAAAATAATATATCAGGCTTTATTTAATAATAAATGATTTCTTATTTTCATGTAGGAGGCTTTGGACGATTCAACGGCGGTGGCAACGGTGATAACGGTGGTGGTTACTCATCAAATGGATTTGGTGGCAGTGGTGGTAATGGTGGATATCCTTCTGGCAGTGGCGGTGATGCTGCTGCTAATGGTGGATATCAATATTAAACGGATAGTTAAATAATCTCGTATTTTACTTATAGACAAAATAATACACCTTTTAAAGCAAGATGCGCGTTTAATACGTAAGGTTGTCTAAATTTATTATGTCTGTAAGGGAGATCGATGAACGCACGGAATAACGTGCTCTAGGACGAGGGGGAGAAAGCAAAGAGGAAGTGAATGGAATAGCGCGTCCGAAAGATGAGTACATCTTGCCCACGCGTGCTCTAAATCCGAACAATAAGAGATGATCGAACGTACGCGGCATTGAGTAACGAGACGCCATTGCGTAAACTAATGAAAAGGAATCCTCTTTCATCAATCAGTGCAATTAATCTACAGGCTCCTTTTTGATGTCGTACCAATTCGTTCGTTCCAGATTTAAAAGACAACCTTTTACGTAATGAACGCCAACTATATATACATACAGTTAACCTCAGAACTAATTATTAGAGAAAGTCGAGAGATTTCATTTTCAGAGATAATATATATAATATAATATGTACGATTCATCGACTTTCAAAGATGTTAAGGACACGCTTTAGTTTATAAAAGTTACATGAGAAAGTATTTCTTTTTTATATACATATGTGTATGTGCGTCTATATACATATACGCATAAACATATATGGATACATATACACACATATATATGAGGGAACAATAGTAAACACGCTTCTTCTTTTATTATCAATTATCTTTCAGGTAAGGTTAAGATGTCTCCTTTTACGGAGTACAAAGTATCTCGGTAATCTTTTAAGCTATCAGCGATACTTTATATTTATTATTTTATATTTAATGTACGTACTTAATATACCCTTACACAGAATTTTTATATATTTAAACGCGTAGTCATAGGAAAGAGAGTATCCGCATGAATATAATTACTGTGCGGTAAGTCAAACCGTGTGTTCTACTCTTCACTCATATATACTTGTTGTATTAAATTAGTAAAATACTCTATTGCTATTAAATAGGAATTATGTATTACTATTTCTTGTCTATATATATATATATGTGTGTGTGTATATATATATATATATACATATATATATACATGCATATATATAAAAAAAATATATATATCTATTCTACATATTATATGAATAAAATGTGATATGGAAAATGCACAAAATCAAAGATTATAATTAATTGAACCTAATTTAACCGAACTCGAAACTAGTTTCAAAATAATTAATAAAATCATTACACAAATTAATATACACATTTGTATCCACACGTACAATACTCTTTTATACATACTTTGCCTACCGTCGGGGATTGGTTTTTGAAATTGACAAGCTTTTATATACATAATTTGCCTATTGTCGGGGGCTTTAACTTTCATAGTTCAGAATTTCAATACCAGATAGAGTTAATTATACATGATTACTATTAACATTGATATTGAAAACTATTACTTTATTATTATAGTTATCTTGCTCTTTCAAAAACAATGTTTAATTTAATTAATGAAAATATAAATAAATGTATAAATATGAAAGTAATCTTCTTCAAAAGTATCTTTATATTTATCTTTAATCGATTTGTTAGGATAAAAGTTATTGAAATGGTCGGTATCTAGTCATAAAATCTTAAGTGATGGTATCGTTCTTTTGCTGTTAGTATGGCTTATCCTAGGTTCAACTGTGCATCATTTTTCATTTCTAGTGACGGTGAAAGACGAATTTAACTATTTGTTAAAGTATTCATTTCAATGCTCTTGTAGATAAGACACGGTGAAATATAACTTGAACGATGATAAATCCATAATTAATTAAAACATGTGCGATATATATTTTAATATTTAAACGTTAATTTATCGCAAGTTTCACGTGTTTACAAACCTTTGAAATCAAACCGAAAAAAGAGATCGAAAATAAATAAGGTAAATTTTGTATTAAAATAATTATATTTAAGCAGCGTATAAAAATAGTGCAAATTTATATAGATCATTCGTTTCATTGTCAATTTTATTTAACAAAAAGTTTGGTCAATAGTAACGTTACGAGAAATATTACAATCTATTTATGTTTAAATGTCATGTAGGACGATACTGTTTATGTCGTGCCGATAAGACGAACGAACGCAAATCAGATGTTTATATTTGTGCTTCTTCAAAAGATGCGGATAGAGATCAGATTAATTTATTGGATGAGATTAATCCTTCTTGATAAAAAAAAAAAAAAATAAAAAGGAAAAAAAAATGATGAAAGTATAATATGTTAAAAAGAAACTATCCGTTCGTTGTTACAGAATTATGGTTTTGTCGAACACAATGGATAACGCGGAAGAATCGTTTATGCGCGTAAGTCAATAATCACAAAAGATATATTAAAATTATATTGAAGTAATTTTAATAATGAGACAATTGTTTTCTCTTTTTGTTTTCTTAGCGTTTTATATGTCGTGCTAGTGTAAAAAAACAGGAGTCCTTCGAATTGCCAGCAATACAACCAAGACGGAAAATGAACATTTTATATGCAATAAGTATCTACCGATTTAAAGGTATGCACTTTTAAATGTCTCGTATTACTTTATCGCCCCCGTACATTTATAATCTATTGTTATTCGTTTTTTTTTCTCGCACACACACACATACACACACACACACACGCACACACACACACACACACACATAAACCAGGTTTCAGACATAAATGTACCAGACTGTCTACTACTGCTTTGGACTGTTTAAATAAGGAAATTCTAATAAAATCTGAAAATAGTGCGAAGGATATCCCGATTCCAAGTAAATTTCTTGAAAACGAAATTTTCCTAGACGAATGTAAGAGAGACATAATAACAAAAAAATGTCAAAATTGGGACATCAAAATAGAGACGACATTATACGACGATGATTTACCATTGTATGACATCTTCATTCCGCGATTAACGGGAATAAAAAAGGAAGCTTTATCGAGCGATCTTGTCAAAGAGAAATCGGAAATTACATGTAAAGATAATAAAAAAGATAAGAGATGTTTGAAAACCGAAAAGAATTTAAACGAGCCGAGTGAAATAGATGAAACGAGCAAAAAGGAAACGCCCTACACTCGTCTGAATGAGGCAATAAAGGATCTCAAGGAACATATGGAATTGTCAGAATGTAAAATTAATCTAATGAACTCGTCGAAAGTACCTCTTGATCTTCGGATCAATTCCAACGTTCAAAAGGAAGGACCGACGGATTACGTGCCTGGTAAATACAAAGTCTTTGAAGATACTTTGAAGAAAACAGCATCAAAGAATAGCGAAAGTATCGAAGAAAAATTTGAGGGAGATTACCCAATAGATTTGCCACAATGTCAATATGCCACTCCAGTTTCTAGAAATAATGAACTTAACAAAAATAAAAAGAAAATAGAGAAACCTAAGCGAATGAGGCCGAACTTGGAATCCACCAGAAAATCCTCTCCTATAGATCTTACGAAAAAAAATATATCCCCGTCTTCGGTACAGAGCACGATTTCAACGATAACGCCTATCGTCTCGTCAAAATTCGAGACGGAGGAGAAGAACGATAATAAATATTCTTATGAAAGTTTAGAATTAACGGAAAATGTTGTTCCGTCGGTGCAGAAATTTTTAAACAATGCGCTTGGCAATGAACGCTCTAGCACTTCTTATATTCCTAATACCACGACGAATTCATATGAAGGAAATCTATGTGAAAATAGAATCGAGGAACCTGTAACACCTCCTACGGGACAAATTCATAATCCTAGACTATTGGCAAGCGAACCACTTCCGCAAGGCAATATAAATAGGAAATCGAAATTGTTCAGATCTTTTTCGCAAAGAATCAAAAGGGTATCGTAAACTTTTAATTGCAATTTAATTTCACGTCTTGTATACGGGCGCGTAAAAATATTGCCTATTATCGGGGGCACAATAGGAAAATTAGTTCGATTATCAATGGCGCTAGTAGTTTAAATTAAAGAGACGTTGACGTCTCGCAGCAAAGACTCTTATTTACAGGGATCTGTACTTTTCGCTATATTCTAATAGAATGCGAGTGCGCTTATTTTTGTTCTTCTTTCTTTCTCCTTCATTTTCTTTTTATTTTTTCGCAAAACTAATTGATCTTTGATATTAATCGAAAGGTAACTCCACTGCATAATTAATTTAATGCATTGATGTCGTTCGAAGATAAGAAAAATGGTTTGTTCTTTTAGATATCCCGAACATTTGTCAATACCGAGGAAAAGGGATCCGACGAATTCATAATAACTTTAAACCAAAATGACAAAATACAAGAACTCTTACAGAAACTCGAGATACAACAAACGTTGATACACCAAGCGAGCAAGGCGTTGAACTTATGTATCGTTATGAAAACGTTTCAACATAGTACTCAACACGTCGAGTCCGAACGATTATTGCTTCTATCGACTCTTAAGAAACAGGCTGTATTGAGTGAAATTAAACGGATCAATGGGCCAATGAACGATAACGTCGTTAAGCTATACGAACAAGGCGAAGTTAATATCTCAAGCATCGGTTTGCGTCTTAAAGAAGACGCTTTAATCTTGATAAGTCAAACTCCAGACATGTCCGAATGGTTTATCATAACTGTGACACACGAATCGATGGTCTGGGCAACGATCGCTATGAATTATTCCATCGACAGCCCAACGAAAATTTCTTTTCCCGACACGATAACCATACCAAATCTTGGTCCAAATTTTAAAATCTTAATCACCCTCTATAGCTTGCAATTGAGAAATACTTGTTACAATAAAAAGGAGGGACATTCTTGTAATAATAATATATCCTGTCCTTCGCCTACTAACTTATGGAGGAGAAATGAGAGATCACGAGTGAAGCAAAATGAAATACAATGTTCCAGCATCAGAGATACGTCCTTTGAACCCTCGGGATATGCCGAGTTGACGCTTCAGGATATACACGAAGTTTCTCCTTGGTCCCTATTATCGGTGAATTTTTCGTCGAACAATCTTGTTTGAAAAGATCAACTCTTAATCGTTAATTAAAGTCTAGATTTTAATTAAGTATTGTTTCACAGGTACCTTCGAATTCGATCTTGCAAGGTTTAATAGATCTCGAGTTTTCTTGTAAGATTCGGATATCGGTCGTTCATGCAGGCTTCTTGACACACGGCAACGAAGCCGGAGGATTTGCCGCATGGAATCGACGTTGGTGCGTTCTTGATGGTAGCCTCTTAAAATTCTGGAACTATCCGCAAGAACACGATTTGAGGCCTCCATTATTGATCATCGACTTGACTCATTGCACCTCGAATGAGGTACAGGTCGTTGATAGGTCGCTTTGTGCCAAACCTCGAACGCTTATGTTTAAAACTATCAGAGAAAGAATACCCCATGATAAAAGCAGTATGTTCCTAGAGTGTAATACTTCTTATACTATCATAAAGTAAGCTGAATACTTTTAACACTATTAACATTATTACTTTCATCGAATGTAATATTATTCGGAAAAGAAATTAATAATTTTCATTTCTTTTTACCTTACAGAAACTTGCTATCGTGCGATACGATAACCGATCTTATGGAATGGAGATCAAAATTAAATTACGTGCTATCCTTATTGCGCAACTGGAACTCAAGAAGGAACGATTTAATTCCTACCACTGAATTGTAATAATCTACCCGTATGATTCAAATTAACGTGTCTTTCCTGGCTATTAAACCTCGCTTAATAAGATTAAAGGTGAAAAATCCCTGAAGGAAAAGAAAAAGAGAAAGAAAGAAGTAATACAATGACAAAAGGATAAACGTTTGCCAATTACAATATCGCCGCTCAAGTCATCTTGAAAATAGTTACTTTAATGACAATTTAATCGAAATAATATAAAAATGTCTAAACGCTGCACAAAGTTCCTAAGTCGTTAGAAATTTACTTCTTCGCTTGGTTGATTGACGATCGGTACTTTCCGTATTCTCATTAACGCGTTTCTTCTCTCTCAACGACCTCGTAGAACTTTTCGAAACTATGTTCTTACTCGATATCGCGGTAGAATGTTCACTGTCGCTATTGGAAGAAATTACCGTAAAGTGACACTTGTCCGGTCCCGGAGGAGTCTCAGACGGGGAATTGGTTTTTACGGATCTCGTATGATCCGTCATAGAAATAACGCTATCCGTTAAATTGTCCGAGGTAGAACTCTTTCGATCGGAGTCCGTTTCTTTCTTCTCAGTTAGAAATTTGGCAAAGATCGATGTGGGAAGTGGTATAGGTATAGGAACTGGAATTGGTATTGGTATAGGATAAGGTACGAGTATCGTCACGGGAGGTAACAACGACGTGGACGGAGCCTGGGCTGAAAATTGGGATTGAACAGGATGAACCGATGGCGTGTCGGTATACATCCTAAGATCCGAGGGATATTTGCGTTGTCTGGATTCGTCGGTACAGGAGCCGGGCGAAGGCGCTGCCTCCGATTGTATAGGCGACGAAGATGTCTCCGGAATCCAAGGGGAGGATTTTCGAAACTTCCTCTGTTGAGAGTATCGAACATTTTCCCGACTTCTGGATTCTCTACCTCGCAATCCTTTCACGTTCTTCACGTGTATATCAGTTTTTTGTTCCATAGCAGATTTATAGATTTGATGCCTATCGTGCAATTCACCACCGTCCATCGGGTTTCCTATCATATGTTGTTTGTTATGATCTACAAAAGACGATCCCGATTGGCTAAGATTTAACAAATTCGAATCGGAATAAGGAAGTCTACAATGTATACGATCGTTCGCGCAATGATAATACTTTTGATATTCTCGATCTTTCAATGTTTCCTTAACGGTCTCGCGAATACTTTCGCCGTCCTCGCTCATCTTCTCATCTGCGTTCTCCGTCTTCCTTACGAATGCTCTCGATGTTGCATTAACGTCCGTTCGCGTGCAAAAGGAATTTCTTCTAATTATCTTGAGAGACATATTTTCAGATTTCGCAACATCGATCGATTCTTTGCGATCGATTTCGACGTTCTGAGACAAAGGCGAGAGCCTACTAATCGACTCATCGTCGACGATAAGGATTTCCTCCGTCGAACTACGAGGTGACTGACAGTTTCGAAGCCAAAGCTCGGGTGTTATTAGTCCACCACCACCCTTTCCAGCATCACTCTGGGAAGGGATCGCGGTAAGTCCGTGGAGGGCAAGGTGAGTCTCGGTCTCTCGACAAAATATATTCATTTTGTATTGATTCAAGCACTTGTCGCTACAAAATTGAAGCTGACTTTCGCCATCCTAAAAAGAGAAAAATCGATCGAATGGAATAAAGAAAATGTTGATCGCCGTGTAGTCGTTAAATTTTACCTGAAAATCAACGTAACTGATCGGATTTCGTACATGTCTGCACCAATCACATGTACGAGCTCTCTTGAAAGCGGCCCTTCGACCAGCAGCAAAGCATGCTTCGCTACAAAATTGTCCCAATGCATTGACCATTCCGCAAGAGAGTGGATTCGTTCTTCCTGGCTCCCACGTTTCACCGATTCGTCCACACCAAGAACAGGATATTACTCTGTGTCCGATGTCCGTCATTTCATCTGTAACATATCACGATGCCGAGAATATTACATGCCAGGATCGTTTTACGTGAGAATTGATCGTGGATCCGCACGATTTGCGATTTGACATAATCCTGTCGTGACATAGTCCGATTGATTTCAACTCCTCGATTCTTTCGAAAAAAAAAAAGAAATCGAAAGGTTTTGATCGATCTCGAAAATTTAAGTTTTTTCGATGATTCACCTGGACTACTCGAAGTTGAGTCGTTGTGATAAGGTAATCGTGAGGTAGACGGTAAAGTTTTGATTTCTAAGGAAGAAGTTGCCGAAACTTTATCGGGATTCTTCGAAATTTCGTTAGAATAATAGGAAGGTATTAATTTCGTTCGTAGAGAATGAGAAAAGGCCGATTGATGATTAGTAGCCATCGGCGATCTCGACGAAGCCCCATTAAATATGAACTGTCGATCCATTTCAGGCAAGGTATGTTTCGAAGTTGCAACGGGTGCAAAGTGATCAAGATTTAAGCCTCTGGTGTAGCCACTGTCAACTTTTTCATAGCCGTACCATCCCAACAATTCACTCATTGCCGTTGCTGCATATTCCTGAAAAAAGAAGAGAAAATGAAAAAAATATCAAGATCACTTTGATCAGTTCGCTATTTCGGAAAACTGTTTGGGAGAAAAATAAAATAAATCACAAAAGTGTCCGAGAATTTGTGCGAATCCGAGGGGCGTTAAAATTCTTCCTCGCATCGGCGAGTATCTTTGCGAACAAATTGGTTTCATTTAAAATCTGCCTCGTTAAGGAAAAACAATGGTAGAACGCGTATAGATATACATATGTATATATATATATATATATATATATATATATATATATATATATATGTATATAAGCATTGTAGATACGCCAACGCGCTGGATACTCGTTAAGGATCCGACTTAGGTTCGAAACGGAAAAAAAGAAAAAAAAAGGAACAGAGAAAAAAGAAAAAAGGAAAAAAGGGACGGATAAAAAAACATAGGGTGAATTTATTTATTTATCTTGCCGAAAACCGGTGCGCTTGCGCATTGCTTCGCGGAGAAACAGAACGTGATACTCCGAGGTCTGCATGTATACGTCCATCTACATGTACCGGTGAGGGGTATAAATATAACCAGTACGCGCATATGTACTCCGTTGTATGTACGCGCGTATATCTGTGTTCATATATGGTATACGAAATCGAGGATATCACGTGGCGTGCGGATCAATCCATTAGTCGACTCGTTTCAGTTACACTGTGCATCGTACACTTCTTATGCTGGTATATCGTACGGCCGAGCGAAGGTAATATGCTACGATAAATCTTGAACCTTCGCAGCCGAGGTTCGACGAACGAACGAACGAACGAACGATTCTCTCGAAGATTTCCTTTAATACGCGAAAGAGAAACGGTGATTTGAAACGAGTCACGTGAATCACGAGTCATACGACACCATCTAATAGAAACTCTTCGCGAATCCAATACAATATGTTTTACATCATATATAGAACCGTTATAAGGGAAAAATAACGATAATGAGAGATGGTATTATTAAATCGGCGCTAATCGATCGACAAAGGATACCTTCGAAATTTATTCAAATTGTAGATATTAAATGAATTGATATTAAATGGTATATCTATATGATATTATCTATATTTAGATTATTATTAGATGCGATAGATCCCAAAATATTATTTAATATAGGGAGAGACGAATCGATCGAGAAAGACCGTGAATCGTCGAAAGAAGGATAGACCAGACGATTATCAGGTTGTAGGAGTAATGGTACTCGCGCTGTCTGGCACGCAGGTGCGCTTTCCCAGTGCACGCGAACACAATCGGCATATCGACATGGACTTTGTGTGTGGCCGGTCGTTTGCCACGGATTAACAAACATCGATTAACTACTATTTCTTCTTCTATCTGGCCGGCATTAGTCCTCCCGTCCCAAGCTTCGAAGTAAAAGCCAGTCTACTTATTTCACCTCGACACGCGATCCGACCTAGCGATTCCTCTCGGTTTTTTCTTTTTTTTTTTCTTTCCTCTCTTTTCTTTTTTTCTTCTTACTTCTCCTTTCTCTTCCCTTTTTATCCTTTTCCTTCCTTGTTTTAATGCGGCTCTTCGATTCGGTCGTGCCAAAACTGAATCGATACAATCGTCTCTACATCTGTGTGTCGTGCATGTAGAATCGTCATAAGCTGTGTTTCAATGTCAGACCCGATCGATTGAACATAATAATTCTTAACGAGAAGAAAAAGAAAAAAAATTGGATCCCATTTGAAAGAATCCATCGATTGTAAATCCTTTTTTCTTGAGATACCGCAGTATCGTATTCTAATTCTAATCGATTCGAATAACTTCATAAATGTCTATCGACGATCGATTTCCACGAGCGTTTGGATTTTGGAATTTTGAATTCAAATTAATTATACATCTATGTAATTCGCGCATGGTCTGCAAATATTTGAAATAAAATACGAACGCATTTAAGTGTAACAGTATATCTTGTCGATATCGTCGAAAATTCGCGGCCCCAAAAGTTATCTCTTTCTCTCATCATTTGATGTATCGGTATCGGGTGTATCGTTTCGATACTTTTCCAAGAACCATCTCACGCAGAAATTCATTGCAACCAGGTGAATACGCAAGGCGAAAGGTATAATGATGAGAGCCGATCCGTGGGTGTCGTATTGCAACCTATTATGATTTCGAATAAATCAGGCGAAGGAGAGTAACATGAAACTCGTTGCTTCTCTCCCATGTATACCCCGTTTCATCTTTGTACGAACAGGTATCGCGAGGAGACACTGTATACTCGATAACGTGATGCTTGAAACCATGAAAGCGACATATTACCACCATCATCCTTGCGCTTCCTCGCTGTCATAATCTTTTTCAAAATTGCAATTTCGTATCGTTTTATTTACCATATATTCTGGGTATCTTGTTACGTCTCCAACGTCTAAACATTTCGTCGACAATCGTATCGTGTCAATAAAAGTTAAATTGAGTTAGAGCATTCTACATTACGAAGGTCGATTAAAAACTACGAAAGATCATCGAGCATCGATCGATTCGAATCTCGATACGATTCTATTCTGCCTTCTTTTTCAAACGTTAGTTTGACAATAACGATATACATAATAAAGTACATGCGGGTAAGTAATACATACATATATATACGTGTACACCGTAAAGCCTGACACCGACTTTTAATATAACGGGGGAAAAACGAAAAAAAGCTTACGTTCAACCAAACGTGGTGAAAAGGACCAATCGGAAAAATGAAATTGACGATAAAACTTTACCCTAATTTCCTCGTCAGCCTCTTCTTTCTTCACCTTTGTTGATACACGTTTTCTTCCCATGAAATCGCCACAAACAGTCTTATCTTCTAACGACGACGACGACGACGACGACGACGACGACGACGACGACGACGACGACGACGACGACGACAACGATGACAACGACGACGACGACGACGACGACGAAGACGACGAAGACGAGGACGACAACGACGACGACGACGACGATGACGACGACGACGACGACACTCCCGTCTTCGCTGATCTCTCGTTTATTATGCTCGATAACGATTCTATCCTACTTCCCATTACTTTCTTCTACATTCATAAATCTTTGAAATGATTTATAAATACATGTATATATATCTCTATATATATATACATGTATATATATATATATGTGTATATATATATATATATATATACATATATGTGCGTGCATGTATATGCACATATATAAACGTGTACCTGTATTGCTCCGAAAAGTTTCGACAAGTTAATGTTTTATCTCATAAAACTCGTTATCTTCCTCTTGGGTATAAAAGAAAAAAGAAGTTTTCGAATTAGCTCGTAAAAGAGCGATCGATCGATCGAAGCATTTCGTACGATCGAATAGAGAAAATTGTATTCTCTTTGATAGTCATCAATACTATGTTGGCTGTAAAAGCAAAAGGATGAGCCAACTAATATACGTATATCCAATGTAAAACGAGTTCGTTCGTGAAAATGTTGGAAGAGTTTTTCCTAAAAATACTTAGCTAGATGCTCTTCGCATGCCGCAGGCAACGGAAGGCGGCAGGCTCTAGCCTAATCGAATTTCACCGATATTTTTAGGTCACTAAGGTAAAACAACTCGCATTAAAATTAGACCATATGATCGGTCTCTCTCTCTCTCTCCCCTTGTGTCCTCGTTGTTTCGCCGTTTCGACGTTTTCGATCGCGATAATCACCGCATACATTATGCGTTATCCTTCTCCAAATACCTTCCCGGTATTCCTTAACGAGAGAGTCGACATTAGCACGAAGAGAGAGAAACAAATGACGTCGTCATTTCGTTCATTTCAATGAGATCCGAGTGTGTCCACGTGCGCTTGAAATAGAACGTTTCGCGTGAAAACTCTCGTACAATGCATATCGCGTTGATCTAGATTTTCCCTTTTAAGATCGCCAATTACCCGCGTAATTTAAATTTTCGAGGATACTTCTTCGATTCACCTCCTTGATTTAAGTTCTTCGAAGAAAATATACTTTGTCCTCGGATGAATGGATAATAAAGATTTATAAATATCACGAGATTTATCGATTCACTCTTGCACACTTTCTTTTTTTATCTATCACTTATCGCGAAGGAGAGATGATCCAAGAAACCGATCCAAGGGAACATCTTCTCGCATGTGTACGCTCGCTACGCGTACGCGGTAAAAATAACCAAGTGGTGATCAGTCGGCATTCGTCGGAATTCGTGCACTTTCGGAATGATTCGGCTCGCGTGAAACTCAAATTTCATCGCTATCACGGATTACTATTAATGATACAAACTGTATTGACCCTATTATATTTCTACATGAAAGTATGAAAGTATGTGGCTACTCGAAACAATAAGTACACTATATATATATTCATTCAAAATTTCATATCATCATTGTATCAATTTCATATAATACGTATTTTCTTATAATTCCAATAATAAAGGAACGCCCTATGTTGAAAACGAAGAAAATCGAGCCGAACGAAATCTATTTAACCGGCCGATTGAATTAATATAACTTCTTAATTCTCACGCGAGATGGCACATTATTTTGCGCAACAACCTAACCTAAGGTTTATTTACTCCTATTGAGTCATATCGAATCGTATTACGATAAAGGAAATTATTGTAAATAATTTTTTGTAAAAGCACGCGCACAAAATGTCATTAGTGGATTTAGGTTTCGTTGAAAAATGTCAACCATGGCGATTGGAAAGTAGATTTTTTCCAAGTAAAGTAGGTGGTAGACCAGCTTGGTTAAATTTAAAGAATATACCCAGAAAAGAGGATCTTGAATGCGAATATTGTAGAAATCCTTGCATTTTCCTATGTCAAATTTATGCTCCATACGAAGAGGATAATGATGCATTTCATAGAACATTGTATGTATTTATATGTAAAGACCCAAGTTGTTGTAAAATAAACGAAAATGGGAATTTAAAGGTTCTGCGCTCCCAACTAAATAGATTCAATCCCTTTTATCCTTCGGAACCACCTGTAGAAGAAGAAGATTGGAAAACGGATATTAGTATGTATATATAAAGTAATATAATATTATATTATTTATTTCTTACGTATTATTATATTTCTACATAATTATTTATAGCTATCGATGCTTGGTGCAAAACTTGTTGTGTTTGTGGAATCGCAGCACCAAATCATTGTTCAAAGTGTAAAATTACAAATTATTGTTGTCGCAATCACCAAGTCTATGATTGGAAACAGTATCATAAACATAATTGTGGTAATAATGTGAATGCAAATAATAGCTATCTATTTCCTGAATATGAGCTAGTAATAGAGACAGAAGAAATTATAGAGACTGAGGATGACGAGGATTGTAGCGAGATAGAAGAAAAAGAATTGGCAAAATACAAATCTATGGCACAACTTAAAGAAACAGGATGCATTCAAGGTGAAAAGGATACAGAAGATTTATCAAGAATGGCAAATCCCGAGGAAGACGAAGTATTTGCTCTATTCCGTACAAGAATCGAGCAAAATCCGGAACAAGTTTTAAGGTATGATTTGTTATAATCGAAATGTATTTATAATTTTTATAAATAAAGAAACAATGTTTCCGTAATTTTCAGATATGAACGAAATGGCCAAATTTTGTATATTTCAGGTAGTACAAAAATTAAAGATGTTCCAAAATGTTCTCTATGCGGCGGAGAAAGACAATTTGAGTTTCAAGTAGGTTAACTTTCAAAGATGTCAGTATCATATCGTATAATATTTTATAATATATAATTTTTTTTATTCCTTTGTAGATCATGCCTCAATTGTTGAATTTCCTTAATTACAAAGACGTTATTAATTCTTTAGATTGGGGTATACTTGTTATATTTACTTGTAAAAAATCTTGTATGCCAAAAGAAGAATATGCAATAGAATATATATGGAAGCAAGATATCCTACCGGATAAGGTTGACAATTCGTCTGTAAATAAAGATGATTCTACATGAGTTGCATATGTCGTTTAGATACTTTATCCTTACAAAATGCACATTAAGCTAGGATTCATTCAAGAATGAAATGCATAAATTATTTTTTCAAATTAAAACAATGTAAGTAATGGTAGTATATAAATATTTCTATTTCGAACGGTTTTCAATTTAAATATAAATCATTTAAACACAAAAAACGTACAATAAGAAAAATCTTTAGAATCTTGACATAAAAACAATAATAAATTAATATTTATTTTTATCAACTGCCACGTTTGAGTATTATAATAATGATCACCAATGACTTTCAAAAGATTCTTGCTGCCATTTTAACCATCTGTCACGTGATGTAACTAAATGTTTATTTACGTATAAGGTTGGTAATCTTTCATGATATTCCAAGTAATTCCAAGAATTACCCGTAAATGTAATAATGTGATTAACGAGAGAGAAGAAGTGCGTGTCTTAAGAAACGATTGGAGAGGTGAAAGTGATTATTATTTGTTATATTACAACATAAAATTATTGATCTTAATCAACAGGTAATTGAAAAATAATTTTACATTTAAATTAAATAATCTCGGCTTTTTCTCAATTAAATAATAAAAAGATGCAGATGATATTTTCAACTAAGATAGCATATTTTAATTCTCTTTTTTTTCTACATTTTCACAGCTTGATTATACAAAGGCTACGTATGTCCGTAAAATGGCACAATCTGAAAATAAATATGCAAACATACATTTAGATCTTGAAGGAATTATCCAAAAAGATAAATCTAATGAATACTTTTGTTGCATTTGCAATGAAATTATCTCTGAAAAGAATTTAATGTTAAAACATGTTAACACGAAAAGTCACATTAAAGCATTCGAAATATTTATAAAATACTTTCAAGTGGCAAAAAGTGTTACAATAAAATGTAAGATTTGTCAAGTTACAGGTAGTTGGAAATTGGTAAGACATCACGTAGAAATGCACAAATTAACCCCTTGGTACGAACCTAAGGATAAATACAAATGGTATTTTGACAATTTTTTAATAATTCATAAAAATCAACTTTATTGTTCTTTGTGTACAGTTATACATCAACCATTCACTTGGAACGATGTTTTCGTTCATATGAACAATGAATGGCATACCACTTTCATGTCTTCCATTAACAATGTAAATGATGAATTTTTAAAGAATCCAAAAATATTAAACAAATATAAAAGCTTTGTATCTAATTCCTTAGTATACTTAGAAACTAAGCTCTTTTATTGTTTCATATGTGAAACAAAAATATCAGGAGGTATTGAAAATCTTGATCAACATATCAAGGGCGATTACCACAATCGACAAAAATTAACATTTAATATTAAGAATATAATTCCACTTAAGAAAACAGTTCCAATTAAAAATTGTATCTTCGAAATACCCGAAGAGTTAAATTGGATAATACAAGCTGATAACATTTATGTTTTCACGGATAGTTTATATTGCAATATATGTGATGTTACTATGAATAATGTAGGCTCTATAAATAGCCACTTAAGACGACATGTACGTTTAAGAGATATATTTGAAAAACAAGATAAAACACCAGTAAATAAAATCAAAATTGCATCATCTAAAGCAATTGTACATTTTACAAGTAAAAGTAATTATTCAAATAGAAATCTTTCAAATGATATTCAGTGTAATCTATTATTAAATATTCCTGATCATTTAAAATGGATGATTGAAGCACTCAAAGTAGAAATATTTTTTGATAAATTGTATTGCACGTTATGTAAAGTTTATATGGCAAATGATACACAAGTAAAATCCCATTTAACTACACACTTTAAGGAATATTCGAAGAAAAAGAATCAAAATTCTAAATCTTCACGGAGTATAGCATCTAATGAAACAAAAATCGTGAATAAATTAGAAAGTTGCACTTTACAAGATAATAAATCTAGCTTCGACACAGAATGTATTTCTTCTACGGCAAAAGAAATTAAATCAAGCGTGTATTTATCTATATTCAAAGAAAATAACATCTATTGTTTAGTTTGTCAAAAAGATATATCTAACAATTTTCAAGTGTATTATGATCACATTTTTTCTAAAGAACATCTTATACATTTAATTAACATAGATACTAAAAAAGTTCGCAAAGAATTTATTACATTTGTTGTTGTTAGTGGAAACATTAAAAATGGTATCGACGAATTTTTAACTTGTATACTATGTAATACTAAAATAAGGAATATTAATGAATCATTATATGAGCATATTGAGTTGGAAGATCATGCATCATATTATCGTGAATGGAAGAAAGCATGTTTAAAATTTTATAATGACATTTTGACATTTATAAAATGTAATTGGTATTATACTACCAAATATTATTGTGATATTTGTTCAATAGAATTTTCTTCAGAGATATGTTTTGCCAAACATATGAATGAAAAAGAAATACATTTTAATTCAGGCAATGCCAATTACCATTCGTGTGTTCCGTGTTCACTTTTATGGTACACTTATAATTTATCTTATTCTAACCACAGTAAAACACCAAAACATCAATATATGATTTCTTGTGGAACCTATGTTACAAATAAATTTCCATACGAAGTAGAAAGATTTTTGATGTCATTTGAGGAAAATACCGAAGAATTATTAAAGTTTTCTCTTATCGCAGAAAAAGCAAAAGAAAACGAAATATTGACATGCTTGAAAACTGATACAATATCAGCTTTTAATAAAGTGGAAGTTTATGCATATGGATCTCGAATTTGTGGTTCAGGTCTTCCAGATAGTGATATCAATATATTTCTTGATTGTTGTGAGTTTATTTTAAATTATTATTTCATTATTTAATAAAACTTAGTGATCAATGAATAATTTTTTTTATTTAAAAAAAATAATTTAATTAAAGGAAAAAAAAGAAAAAAAATAATCAATAAAGAATTTAATTTATATAGTGAATACATATAATGGAAAAGATGTATGTAGTAAACAGCTTGAAGCCACAGTTAAAACAATTAATAGTATCCTCTTATCAAAGCCATCAGTTTGGCATGTAAATGAGATTATATTGGATGATGGAATAACGATCATGAAAGTATGGTATATACCAATGCAATTACATTGCACAATCTCTTTTAAAAATGGTCTTGACGTGGAAAGTACCAATTTAATCAAGTAAGAAGAAGAAATTGTAGGGTAAAAACCTTATAGGGTTTATCGCCCTTTATATTATGATATATAAAAGGTTCTATCTTTTATATACCATAATATAAATTTAATATGTCCATATTTTCATTATAGACATTTCAATGAGACTTACTTACCATGCCGTAAATTAATCTTGATTTTAAAAAAGTGGTTGTCATTTTGTGGTATATCAGGATTTCCTTGTATAAGTAATTATGCATTAACCTGGTGTATTATTTTCTATTTACAAATAATATTTATATTGCCAAGTATTACCGAACTCATTCAAGAAAATAATAAATCAAAAATAATAGATGGTAAGCTTTTCTGTGTGATAATAAGTAATTCTTAGTAGTTAATTTTTTTATTTATTTATTGTTACTTATTTTTCAATGTTATATTTTTATTTATTTATTTCTTATAGGCTGGCAAACAGGAGTATCGTATGAGTTTAATGCTAGAAAAACTTCCAAATTTCCTTTCGTAAAACTCCTTTCAGGATTTTTTATATTCTATGCAGAATTTGATTACAGGCGCCACATAATTTGTCCATTACTAGGGAAGCCAATAGAAAGGAAAATATTTACAGATCTATCTTTACTACCTAATGATATGGCTCCTTATGTTCAATATGTTAAAAATGCAAAAAATCCAAAATTGTTTTGTCTGTCGCCTATGTGCGTACAGGATCCATTTAATTTATCTGATAATCTTACTGTAATGGTAGAAAAAAGTACCTTAAATAATTTCAGAATATTCTGTAGCAAAAGTGCAGAAATATTAATAGATTTATTTTAATCACTTACATTACGCATTACATAATAATGACTTATCTCTTCATAAAATTTATGTTATCTGATTTTTTTTTTTTTTATTAATTCTACGAATGGTTGATTACTTTTAATAAAATATTGGGATATCAATATCTTCACACAACTTCAAATAGTATCTACTATTTTTCACAAGGTATTACATATTAATTAAAACACACTTTTATAATAGAAAAGTTAACTATGAAAAATATATTATATTTTTATATGCATTTTATGACCAAAAATAAAAGAGATTTCAATATTAAAACAGAGATTAATTATTTATCTTCACAACGATATATGAAACGTTAAAAAATTCACCTAATAATCTATTATTATAATGACGATACATACCTATGTATGTTCTTTGTTGTTTTCTTGGACTAGACGTTTCAGGAAAACGTGTGTGTGTGCCTACGTTTTTTTTTCTTTTTATAAAAACATATGACATATAAGAAAATATTCTTTATTCGTGTAGTAAAACATTTTACAAATATAGAAAATATATGTTAACATTAACAATCATTATTAACTAACATTGTTGTAAATTGTACGCATGTAGAGTAATTTATCAAAGCTATATGACTATTATAATATTATTTTCTTTATGTTTTTAAGACTATAATTTAGCTTATAAAACAATCGATAAAAATTGTTTAGTGTTATAATGTGAATTATTTATTTGATGTATATTTTTATATTTCACATTATAATTATATCATGTTATTTAGAATATTTGCACTTAGTTTGCAATATTTTTTGAAAGCTCTTAACGTAAGAGGTTCTACAGCTTTTGTTAAATTATGTGATAAGTCAAATGGATCTTGTAAACATATTGAAGAATCAATACGAAAGTTTGTATTAATGGCCGATTCTTGAATATATTCTATGTAAAGATTCATTGCTTTCGGTAATTTAAAAATATCTATAAAATATTTTTTTTCTACTGTATCAGCAATTAATGGACAAATAACATAATCTCTATAATTAAAATGACCATAAAAGGTAAAAAATTCTCTTAGTAGTTGATCAAAAGATTTGTTCACAACTATATCTTGAATGTCATGGTCGACTCCAGTTTCCCAACCTACAAAAAAGGTTAGACTTTAAAACAAGAAACCAATCATAGTCATTTATCTATATATGGTATGAAGAAAATTTACATTCGTAAACTACGTAAATTCATTATATTATCTTACCAGAGATAAGTTTTGATTTATTTTTCCGCTTTATTAAAGTATCAATGCTTGGTAAAAACTTTTCAATTTGTAAATAAAATATAACAAGCCAGGCAAGAGCATAATTCGTAATACAATGATAACCGGGTAAAGTACAGCGAGATAGCCACTTTTTAACAAATAAAATTAATTTTCTACCTTGTGGACATGCTTTATTAATGGATCTAAGAAAATTAGAAGATTATATAAGAAAATAAATAAGCTTTTAATTAAGCGATATATCATAAGAAACTTACTTAATTAATTTAGTATTTTCAACCGATAAGCCATTAGAAAAGGAAAGATCACATTGTAATCCAGTTTGTCTATGTCTTAATTTTATAATAGGTACTCTACACTTTTTCAATATTTCTTGCACATCCCATATATCTTTGTCTTGCTGTAAACATTTTTTGATAATATCCATATAATTTGTTATAGATGATAATCTATAGTAGTTATTGCATTCATATGCAATCCCTTCTGTAATAAACATTCTTGGTTTTTAAATGGTTATATCACATATTTTCTCATAAAGAAAAAAGAAAAAAAAAAAAAAACATTTACCACAGTCAATAAATATATCTACATCACTACTTGCAAAGCCTAAGCCTGCTATTCTTGATCCAAATGGATACATTTTTAATCTAGGGAATTCAGTATTTAATAAAGATTTTAATGGATTTAAAAAGTTTTTTTCTATTAAGTCAGATTTTAATGCAGTTTCTGATAATTTGAATAAGTTTTCTGCAGTCTCTTCTACGTGTTCAAGTAATTCTTTTGCACGCGAAGGTAATTCTCCAATTACAAAATCTAGGCTATTTATCAAAAATTTATGCATTTCATTCCTACAATGTATTGAAAATGAAAAACAATATTCTCTTCCATTTGAAATCCATAATAATGCACATGGTAAGCAGAAATCATATACAATATTTTTTGCATGTTTATGTAAATTATCAATATGGTATAAAAAACTTAATTTGATTTTAAATTGTTTCTTACAAGGTATACAAGCATACTGATGAATATTATACCAATAGTTGTCAAATTCTTTCAAAAGAAGGTTACATTGACTTTTGGATTGTTCACAGCAATCTGAAAATATTTTCTTATCCGTTTTATTTCTATTATGTAGTTTCATATTCTCATGATATTTTAATAATAACATTTCACACTTATAACATTTCCAATAATTATTAGTTTCTTCCATATACTTTAATGCTATATCAAAGCACTTATGGTGCAATATCATTTTTTTAAGATTTTGTATATGTGTAAAAGTATGTATATGTTCATAAAACATTTGTAAACTATCAGATACTTTTTGGTTGCAAAAAAAACAATATCTCGCTTGAGAATCTTTACATATGCATGAAAATTCAAAACTTTTTATAATTATAATTTTTGCTGTTTTAGAAATGGTAAATATTTGTTTTTCTATGTTAAGCAATTCAATTGTATATGTAGTTTTAAAATGGTTAATAACATTGTTTTTCTTGCGCACTTTAAGAACATCTTTTTTTTTATTCATTGGCCACTTCAAAAATGCATTAATCTCCTTATATACATCATTAGGTATATATAGATTAGAATCATCATTCGTTTTACAATTGGCAGGTTCCTGTTTGAGTTCCGAGTAAGATGCAACAGATTGTTGCGATGATATAGTGTCAATATTCCGTTCTTTTCTTACCAAACATAATATCTTAAAATTTTTTATCAATTCGTCCAAATTAGAAATTTCACTCTCTTTGATGGCCATTTTAATGTTATTTTCTTAAATTTATCTCTGCCAGCAGAATCGTTAACAGATGACTATCTGTAGTCCTACTTGTACACCGCTATATATATGTATATTTATATTTAATTATAAAATATATTTTTCTTATGTAAAAAATATTTATTCAGTTATTTTATATATAAATATATCTATAAAAAAGAAATCATTTAGTGTTTAATAAAATAACACGAGAATTGTTCTAACATTACTAGATGCTAATATTGTCATCCTTTATATTTAAAGTATAACGCATGCACTAATACATATTAATACACTAAATTAAATAATTCGAAAAATAATAAAAGTACTGTACCAAATATGATAGCTATATATTATACATTTACCTTTTTTAAAAATTTATTTTATTCACGTTTCTCTATTGCACATCGCTCGAATAGGTCCTTCAATTACGAGACAATTAAAACATGTAACATAAAAAACCGGAAGTAACTATTAATGATCATTAATATTTATATAATATATTACTATAATATTACTATATATCGAAAATTATGTTATGTGTATTAAAAATGTACTTTTATGAAAGCGTAAGTCGTAACGTAGGCCACATATAAATACGAATAATAAAGGAAAATATTTCTGTGAAATATATTATGTCTACTTGTGCAATACAAAAGAAATCATTCTTCTTAAGTAAATCCTAAGAAATAAGACCTCGATAAATGATTATCGTGAAAAGTGTTTTTCTATCTTGATAAATACATTTTTAATAAATATATCTTATAACATCGAACTAAATAAAGGCATGATAAAATGATTATTTCGATTTATATTATTGCATACGATTAAATTATATATCAATTGATTCTATACTAATTTAATAATTTTTTTCTATAGTAATTAACGTTAGAATAATTAAAGGAAAGATTATATAGTCATTAAAATGATAAATTTAAATGTATAATCTTATATAATTCAAGTTAACTTTACTAGATTGAAATATTTAAAATAACATTAAATTGTAAATATCAGAATTTATGTACATTATGTATACGTAATTTACGTATACACCATGAAAATAACGAAGGAAATGGTATTGTATTAACAAATAATAAACACAATATCTTAGCATTAGAATTAGGAATATTTCCAATAAATGATTCGGATTTGTAAAAAATAATATCGCATCTTTTTATTCGAAATAAAAGGGGGAACAAAAAATATAATACGTTGATAGTTTGATAACCTAGGGAAAAATAAAGAAAAAAAGGGTTGCTTGAGAGAGAAGCACAAAAAGAAACATAAAAACAATATTATTTCAGCATTGAGAATGCAACATAAACCGTGCGAGTATTAACCTTCGCAATAAATTTTCACACTTAAATACTAACTTGAAATTTTATTTTGTTAAATGCAAATGAAAATATGAAATGAATAATATGTAGTTTTTGTCTTAACTCATCAAACTATATTAAAATTAGTATCAATGTTCACAGTTGTGTTTATAGTTGAATTTTAGATATTTGTCTTTTATTTATTTTTTCTTCTAATCTTTTTGCGGCAAATTTTGTACATTATTAAGACGATGGATCACATCTATAACATATTCTATAAGAACTTCGTATTATCTATTAACGCATATATTACACGTAGATTACTTAATTTATTTAAAAAAAATTATTTCTACATGAAGAAAATTTATAACTCTGTATGTTCATAATGATGTGCTTTGAAATCAGCTGGATGAACAAATAAGCCCTCCATAGTTTTCCATTCTACATGTCGACTATCAGGAGAATAATCTCCAATTACTTCCATCTGACCAACCAGATGGGTGTATGATCTACCGCTAATGGATAAATACCTGTATTTGGAAATTATTTGAATAGCCATTAAAAAATATATATTAATAACTGGAAATATGAAATATTAACAGGTAGGAAAAATCAAATGTAAGAAACATACGCATTTGTGTCTACATGCTTCAACCTGACAGTATCATCCCTTTCCCAAAAATCAGTTCGACATACTATTTGCCAATTATCTCCACTATCACCTTCTCCTCTGTAATCCCCATAGGCAGATATTTCTTGTTTACCACTTAGTGGCGAATTAACCAAGTGAGAATGTAAATTCTTTTTCGTTGCGATATGTTCTAGTCTAATTATATCCCCACATTTAATGGGTTTCCTATTATAGTTAAATTAGATAAATATATAGATAAATTGTATAAAAACAGGTTGTTCATTTTTTATTACTGCTTTGAAAATATTAACTTATTTTAAACATAAAATTTTAATGAATGTTATTCATTACCCACGAGTATATTGCTTTCCATATTTTTCTTTTACAAGCCAGTACGAATTACCATCTTCTTTAACTTCTATACCTGTCACTGATTGTTGCCCACTGCCGCTTCCATATCTGATATCATGAGAATGTAATCTGAGATTGAAGTCAACGTTCATTAATTTAAGGACAGATCCGTATGTTACATATTTTGTTCCTTTGGCTACAATACAATGTTTTGAATGTATATATTCAATAATTAAATCGATATATTAGCAAGTACGTATTTCTATAATTAATATAACCTTAAAATTTGTAATTCCTGTGAATTACAAAAAAGTATCATTTTAAAATATACCTGTAGTAAATCCTAGGGAAAATAAACTTATTAACAATATTTGGAAGAACAATGGTACTATTTCCGATCGCAATATCATTTTTAAATAATTAAATAGAGCTTATTACACTATTAAAAACACCGGAATGTGTCAAATCTAACTTCGGCTGCGTACGTGGTTTGTATAGATCGTTTCATATCTCGTGCGTGCCAACTTTTCATTGGCGCACATTGCAAGCTATCACACATAACAGAATTTCAATTTAATACAAAATACTTTCCTCATATAAAAATTATATTATTTATTTAATTGAGAAAATATGTTTTATTAAACAATATTGACAAATGAAAATTAAAAGTCTCCATAAAGCAATACATATTATATTAATCACGCGATCAATGCTTGTATTTTTAAATGAAACAAAAATATCGGAATTATATTTTTTATATATTTAATAAATTTTATATTATAGTATAAAATAGATTTAAAAGGATAAATATATGACTAAGTGTTATATGAATATCAAAAATATATTTTTACCACATTGGACCCATGTTTATTTCTTAAATGTTTTACAAAATAATTGTCTATAAATTGCATTTGATAATTCATAAGATTAATTATTAGATACAATTTATTTAATCTTATGCAATTTCCCACACAAAGATATGGTATGCTTCAACAAGATATACTCTGATACAAGCTATTAGCATGGTGCAAACATGTACAATAATTCAGTATATTACATTTAATATTTGTACACCATGTTATAGGCCAATCTATTCTCTGTACTAAACATGTGTGTGTGTGTGTGTGTGTATTATAAAAATACAGAATACAGGAAACGAAGATATGAAACACTTATTAAAGAAGCATTTTGATATATCTGTCTTATTATGGTATCATAATACATAAAAATAATAGATAAAAAATCTCTTGTATTCAATAATTGTATTAATTAATATTTTATCACTTTCAGCAAATTGATAATTTTTTTCTTAACTAAGGTATCAATATACAATATATAATGTATAATTCTACCATATATTAATGATAAAATCTTTTTGATAATATAGGCAGTAGATCATATTCTTCATTTGTATTTTAGGTTTTCGATTTATAATGATCACAGTTAAACTGTTTTGCATATAGAAACAAATTCCAGGAACTTTTCTTGCAATTTTAAAGTCATAAATCTTTTTTTCGATAATACATAACAAAAGTAATGTAAATTAATATTCTATTACTTTTGGCCGAGTTTTAATATAAACATATGCGGCTATCATTACAAATATTGCAGCCATTGTAGGTAAAACGACTGTAAAAATTCGTTGCTTGTTTTCAAGAAATTCCTTTTTGCGTTCCTTCTTTTGCTTATTTGTTTCTTTTGTTTTACCTTTTAATTGACGCATTATGTTGCTGTAAAATATAAATTTATTTTTATTCATCTTATAATATAAGAATGCCCATGTAAAAATAATGTATAAATATTTTTGTTAAATAAATTTTTACTCAAGAAAGTAATACATTTTATCAGAAAATCCATTTCGATGTCAAGTTAAAACAAAATTACATTTTTTATATAATTTTTATTCTATATATATATATATATATATATATATATATATATATATATACACGTATATCTGTTAATAAAAATATCATATATTATTAAGATTTACTTTTACATATGCCAATAAAGTATAATATAACAAGTAGTGGGTACAAATGTTCCTTAATATGAACATAAATGTAATTGATATAATATTTACGTATATACGAATAATTACCAAAAATTAATATCTTGTTTATTTAAATGTTTGATTGAAAAATGATTTTCAATTGACAGATGTGCGAATAACCAGAGTACGAGACTTATGTGCATACACGTAACTAATAAGCAAACAACACAACTTAATATCACTCTTTCCACTTCCGTACATACATACGAATAAACTGGATAAACTGTGCCATAAACTAAGCATTAAGTCATAGATTGAAAATTTTATTACGTTCTGTTATCATTATAACAGAAAGTGATCGCAACGCCACTCTAGGTAAGAATTATAACTAAAACTGAAAATAAACATTTTCATAAATAAAATTACATTTGTGTGTGTGTATGTATGAATGAGAAGGCCGGGCGGGCAAATGCTTACAAGATACAGTATATTTATTGCGAAATCGGTATATCCGATAAAAAATTATATGCGACGACGATCATAGCTTCGAAGTTATCTTCTTTTTCTTCGAAAAAAGCGTACTTCTCTTGGGCCCATAGAAAACATCCAGAGCATCTGATTTGTCCTATTCTTGTTCTTTGGAAAAAACACTGAAATTTATCCATTATTCTATATATAGTATCTATTATATATATCTATAGTATCACTGTTTTTATTGTTGAACCTTCCTTTAAAGGTGTTGGGAAACGTTATATAGATTTTTATAAATTAACTGTTGTACGTAATCATTCGAAGTGATCATGATATATAGAAATTTATTTTTAATATATACATTTATGGATAGGTATGAATTAAACTATGAAGGTAAAGAAATATTATTTCCTGAAAAAAATACTATCAAGATTTAATCTGATTTAGCTACCAAAAGCTTAATATTTTCTAATCCATATTTACATTTATATCACATGATTAGGTTTTTCACTATACATTAATATAAATATATTTATGCGCGCTACTAATAAGTAATCATTTATTACAAATAAAACATATATATATATATATATATATATATATATATATGTACCTATATGTGTATATATATATATCTTGCCCTTCAAAAAATAAAACAGATTAACATTACGTGTATTTCTATGAGTCCATAAATTCTCGAAGTAACAAATTGTTGCAATATTTGTAACAAGGCATTTTACTGAAGCGTGTATGTAAAATAATATAAATAGAATATTAGATATATATACGAAGAATTTGTACATGTTATCAAAGTAGCATGATATTTTATAGAGCTATCAGTGATTTTAATCGTACAAAATATATCTCTAATATTTAAAAAATTTTTCTTAGAGTGTATCGCACACACAAATTTGCATGATTTTTAAATACTTTTGAATCATAGACAACATTGTTCATTTTTCAACAATTTAAGACTCAGTAAACATCTACAGCTTCACGACAGTTCTCCAATAGGCGCATTTTGCAACCACAAATCGTGTATAAAATTATACAAATCATCGCTAACAGCCACCTATAAATTATTATATAAAAAGTAATTTATTGTTTGTAATATCTGTATCTATAATATACAAATTTTTATGTTTTTACAAATTTACCTTATATGGTGTAGGGTTCAAATTTCTTTTATGATCATTTCTTAATGTTTTAAGAGATTCCTGTACTCTATCTCTAATTTGTGTTAACGTCGGTAAGGGTTCGCAGAGTTTACCATTTTTCCAATATATCTTTAAATAGAAAGTAAATATTTTAGACTTTTTCTCATATTTAAGAATAGTACACACTTTAATAATATAAAATTGGAATATTAATATAAATTATATTTACTTTGTGCAATGGTTCTACACGTGTTGGTATAACATATGCTCTTTTTGATTCTTGAAATGGATGTCTACAGAGAACTTTCTGTTTTATTTGCGGTACTTCCTCTGTTGATCTTTGTAATATGTCAATTAATGCATATCCATCTGCACCATATAATCTGTATGCATTCTTTTTACCAGGAATATTCATTTTACCAACTTCTTGACTGAGCTTGATTCTTGGTTGACCATTGATTTCAACCATTTTGTATACGCAACCTAATGCTGGTTGTCTTTGACACGTTACAAGATGCGTACCAATTCCAAAACAGTCAATTTTGTGACTCTATGAAAACATTTATTAACTTAATTTATAAACTAAAAAAGCCTGGTTTAGAAATAGCCATTATAAAAAGTAAATATAAAAAAGTTTGTCATTACATGTTTTACCTGCTCATTCAAACTTATAATTGTTTCTTCATTAATATCATTCGATGCAACGATTGTCAATCGTGCGAACCATGGTATATTATACTTAACAGCAAGTTTTTCAAAGATATCTCTAGCAGCATTACTAAGGTATGCCAAATCACCGCTATCAAGTCTTATTCCAATAGCTTTGTAATCCAAATCATTTAAGGCAAGTGCAACAGCACAGAAATTTAAAATGCCACTCCTAATACACAGAAGAATAATAAGATAGGTATTCACATGTATGTTGAAAAACATATTATTAATATGGAGTAAATATAATCAATAAGAACAATTAACCCAATTATGACTTATATATAATTGCACATGCAAACGCACATACATTACAACTATTTAAAATGAAGTGGAAGATTTAAGGGGCTGAATTGGGAAGGGCACTATATAAGATCACAAAATTATGATAATGAAATCTCACGAAAAGAAAGCTTTTATATTGATTAAAATATGTTAAGCTTGCTTCATAATGATCATATTATGAAAGCAGTAGGATGCAATGAAGAATTATTATTTTTCAATTTGTCTGCTTTACAGAAATGAGGTCTTTAGTTAAACTTAATGAACGTTGTAATTTTTATTATAAAAAAAAACGTTTAATATTTCATTGACACAATTATGAAATCATTGTGTATCGGAAAGCAGACAAGTGAGAGTATATCGTACCTCACATAGAGCTCACCCAATTCGCCTCGTCTTAAAAAGCCATTCTTGTGATGCGAAGTAGATTCTGATATAAGCGTATTGTTTCTCACACCATTTTGAGCATATGCATTGGATCCTTTAGTTAGAAGCTTATTCTTTACATTTAGGCTGGTTATAAATGTCTTTTGCTTGGCTGATGCTTCAATGCTACAAATACATTTTTCTTATCCAGCAACAAATATAATAGTCTATGCCTATTATAATTTTTATTTTGGCAATACACAGACTTGATTATCTATTACTTAAGAAACATATATATTTTCTTAATAGATATAAAATTTTTATTGAAAATAACTGCAAAAGTCAGTATATATTTCTGGTCACGTTATTAAATAAAAGTATATTAGCGTTTAGAAATATATTCCATGTTATATATAAATTGTATAATCGTGTATTATTTCTTTTAGAAAATTCCTGACAAATTCTTAGCATTACAAGACAGACTGAGAGATTTAACTTGATTATTGTTAATAATATTACTTATTATATTTTATATATGTAGCATGATTGTGTATAAATTATAAGTATGTACATTAACATGACAATATAATCATGTAATCCATAGATAAAATATTTCACATATTTACTTGTAAAATTATTACTAATATTTACAATTAATTTATATAGATATTTTTGTGCATTAATTTTTCTTTAAAATTTAGTATATAAATGCAATATTAATTTGTATTGTACTTTTATAATAAAAATAATTATAATAAATTTTTTTGATAGTTTGTTGATATTAGTAGCAAACTATATTATATTTACATTAATGATATTAAAATAAAATTATCAAAGAAAATCAGCATTTGATATCAAATCATTTACCAAAAGTCTATGAATATTAAAAAGAAAAAAGACAAAGAAAAAGCTCTTCGATAAAAATAAAAAATTATATTTAGAAAATACAGAAAGAATAAAAAATAATTTAATAATAAATAACAGTACATACCTTTTAACATCATATGTGTCTACAAGAGCTGTAAATCTCTCTGGAAAAGCTATAGCATAGCTGATTAAAGCAGCTAATTCTCCACTAGAAGCTTCAGACACTATACTTCCTAAATCACCGGCAATAGCATCTCGATACTTCGATGCCAACTCTAAAAGATCATAAACTTTTCCTGTTTGTTTATGAGCAAGAGTCTGCAAATATATGACAAAAATATCGCGGTTTTAGTATCATTTATATAAATATATTTAGGATAAATAATATTCTAATATGTAATTTAATATATACTCACTTTGGCTTGTAAATCATCGATACTTGTAAAAGATGTAATGTATGCATGTGCATGAGTTCCACTTACTGGAATATTAAATAACTTTCCAGCTAATACATTACTTGTACCATCAAATCCACCTATAATATATATAACACTGATATGTAATTATTCTTTATGGCATTGTTTTGAACCATTCTGATTATCTAGTACAATTGCAAAATAAAATAGTGTATTGATTTTATTCTTTATGATTATAAATTTAGTTTCTTAAAACAGTATTAAGTTATAAGATTACATTAAGAATATGACGAACCAACGTAGCTATATTTAGATGCACTTAATCCTCCATCTGGACCTTGAGCTCTACGAAGGCCAAACTCTAACAATGTAATATTTTTCCCAGCAACCATCCGATATCTGGCTGCATTAGTTGCCATCAAACTTGCATAGTTCACCAATGTTAATAAAGTTGTCTCCAACAGTTGTACTATTATTAATGGTCCTTCAACTCGTAACAATGGAATTCTATATATGTTAATACATGTATCTGAATCTGGTACTTTAATAGATATATCAGATTAATAAATCTCTAAACTTATTCATAATTATTTCAAGAAATAAAATATATTCTATATAAGTTGTAAATTTTAAAAATCATTTCTCTAAATTATTAATAATAATAACCTTGGAAATGTAACAGAGCCTTCTTGCATTGCATAAATAGTAACGTCATTTACATTGACATTTTTTAAATAATCAAAGAATTCCGGGTCTACCGTAGCAGGCATTGTAGATTTCAAATATTTGATATCTATAATACAAAATTATAAGTAAATTATTACAATCAAATATACTGTAATAAATCAATTATTATTAAATTAATTATAATTATACCACTGTTTGAATACTGAAACCTCTCCAGAAATTTAATACATTCTTCGAGACCAGCAAAAATTGTGAATTCTCCTTGAAAGGGGTTCTTCCGAAAAAATAAATCAAATACAGCATAATCATTGGTTTTACCGCTTTTCCAATAAGCATATGCCATTGTAATCTGATATAAATCTAAAAAATTATTTAACTATTAATTTTTTTATGTAATCTAAAAACAATACGAGAAAATGAGCAATTTTTTTTGCAAATCTTAGTTATTTCTAAATATGCTAACATGTAATGGTTATATATTAATTTTAATTATATTTTTTGTGTAATAGTATATATTAATAATAAAAAAAATTGTACTGGCTTAATCAGAAAAAGAAAAAGGAGAAAAAATATGAAGCATACTAATAAATCGTACAGCAAAAAGGATTGATCATAAAAATGATTGTAGACGACAAAGAGATTAAAATTTTTAATTAGTTACGATCACTGAAATAATATTTCGATTAATTCCATAAACATAATTGAAATATGATCCATATGAAGAAAGTTTTGAGGTTAGTTTGTAAGTACCGGCTTTGAATGATCATTTATCATGTTACTCATGAAAACAGACTACTTAAATACCTGTCAAAAGAGGTTGAACGACAGCATTTTGCCGTGAGTGACACCATGTTTTACAGTCGTCATCTGACATTATTAAGAGAAATTTATTTTCTTTTGTATCTGAATAGTTTCTCTCTCTCTCTCTCTCTCTCTCTCTCTCTCTCTTGTGCGTTCTCCGTTTTATATATATATATATATATATATATATATATATATATATATCTATATCTATGTATATATATACTTATTTATATATATTTTTTTCTCTCACTAATATAATGCTTCAAACAGTTAAGTATTAATAGTACTACACAGTGTACATTACACAATACCCCGTCGTTCACGGTTACTGACGGACTGACATGATTTAAAGAAGTCCACAGTAATATACGATCGCGTACCCTCTTAGAATCGATAGAAACGTTTGAAGGACGTTCAGACGATACATGCATGACCTGTTATTCCGCCAGTCGTCGAATCAGTTGTTAAATAAGTCATAATGTTCGCTGCTTTACATACTTTTTTCTGTTTAAAAATCACTATCAATAACTGATATGCTAATTTAGAGAAGAACTACAATATCTTGCATTTTATTTATACATTAGTAGAAAACTTTTCATTTCACTCTTGATCATTAGTTAAGAATAAAATATGAAAAGAAAGTGTGTCCTTGAAAGAACGAATGACTCGAAATTCGCGGTTAATTGTGAATGTTTCGAAAGATGTAACTTTTAATACAAAATTATTGTGCCTATCGATGAAGTATTAAGTACATGAAGTATTTCAACGTATTATATGCAATCTACAATCAATCTTTTTATGTTCGTCATAATTACAGAAGAAACGATACGTGTATGTATCCGTATTTTTTGCATTTTTGCCTTTCTTTCTCTCTTTCTCTCTCTCTCTCTCTCTCTCCCTCTCTCTCTCTCTCCCTCTCTCTCTCTCCCTCTCTCTCTCTCTCTCTCCCTCTCTCTCTCTCTCTTTTAGCACTTATAGTTCGATGAGCAAAGTGCATGTCATATATGCATATATATATACATATATATATATATATATATATATATATATATATATATATATATACATGAAAAGCAATATGCCACGTGTTCAGAAAATTTTAGTCGTATTTAATGTTGGAACCGAATCAAACAATTTATTTTAATTTAATCGATATCAAATACCGATTCAATTATCGTACGAACATTTCTTACAATTCTAACATGTACAAGATAAAACAATTAATTAATAATCGAAAGATATTTGTTTTTTATATAGCATCGAAAAGTCGCAGAAAGTGCTAGATCGATTAAATATTAAGTATATCAAGTATTTCGAGGCGCCAATTATTTTTACAATGGAAATGCATAAGAAGATATCAAAGAAATAACTAAGTAACTAAATGCATAAAAAAGAAATTAATTATATATTATGTATACATACGCGAGACACGCGCACACATGACACACATATTGCAAAATGCATTTATATTGTAGAAATGTGTAAGTCGTATATGTATATTTATATGTATATATTCTTTATGTTTTGATTATACTTTGCATATAGTTTTTATTGAAATGATATAAAATTATACGTCGTAATAATTCTTCACATTGCATCGCATTACGTCATAGGTCTCTTAGATAAGATCTCTAATTATAGCGAGCTCTTGTAGTTAATCTATAGAGATTTATACTTGTAGAATGTTTAATTTCAAAAATCTTTCATTTAAAATGTTAAACATAATGTTCATTTGTTAATGAAAGGAAAACTCATTTGTTTTTCATAATCGGCACAATTTTTTGTTTAAAAGAGAAAGAGAGAGAGAGAGAGATAGAAATAATCTGTTTTTTCTTCTGGTTCATTTATAAACTTCAGAATTATTTCATAATTATTGTTTCACAGATAATTTATTAAGAGAGAAAAGAAGCGTATTTCAACTTTCATATCATATATATAATTTTTACAATTATATTCTAAGGATGTAATAAATCAAGTTACAAGATACATTTTTTCTTGATATTATATTCGTTTTATCAATGTAAATGTGAACACACAAGAAAGATTTATGAATGCATTTGCAAACACTTACAGCGATAAACATATACGCGAAAGCGTAATGGAAGTAAATAATAGGATTATATTGCAGATATCTTATCCTTTATTATAAATATGTATATATCGCGCGCGCGCGCGTGTATGTGTGTGTGTGTGTATATATAAAGATAGACTCCGATCACATGACGAATAATACTGTGGTTCTATCTTCACCTCTTTCTTTTTCTCTCTCTCTCTCTCTCTCTCTCTCTCTTTCTTTTCTTAATCTCATTTGTTATTTGATGCCTCAGAAAAGAGAAAAACTTTTTCCTGTATATCTAGAATAACACGAAAGTGGCACATTTATAATAACCATGTACCACCCGGTGAGATCGGCGATGAATACCTTCGATTAAACACCTATCGTTAGGGGCAACACAATGGTTTAAACTCTGACCTTGCATGTAACGTTGGCCTGCTATACAACAGTTTTTATTTTTCTTTTTACCCTCTCCTTAATATATAGAAAACGTAATGGAAGGAGGAAAATTCGCATGCAATGGAAATTAAAAGTATCTATAGAATGAAATAATACAGGTCGTGTGATCCTTTTGCAAACTAATTCATAATAGAGACAATCGAAATCAGCGATTGTTTTTGAGAGGAGTACAACTTCTTCAAAAGATAATGATCAAAACTTAGAAATAATCTTTTAAAGATTTATAATGAGCTTTTCAAAATTTAATAACCCTTTAACTTATGTAAGAAACAGATTTTTAGATAACTGATCAAATTACGATTTATTATTTTTGTGTATATGTAAAAGTTCTTACAAAATAATTTACATGAGTAAATAGTTTAACATCTTTAACAGTTTTAACAAATATTTCGTGTATCCTTGTAATTTATGTTACAATGAAATGTTACTCGCAATAACTTACGTTTAAATAGCATAAAATTTTTGGAAATATTTGAATAATAAATTTTTATTATTCAAACATTTTTATGTCGCAATTTATATCGTCAATTTTGAATATCGCATGTACTTGCATATTATGTTCATTATGTCATTTTTGCAGATATTTTTTATGTACGAAGCGATATTTCATCATTAGTCATTTCATTATTGTTTATTAACATTTTATAGATAAGTCTCTCGTAACTATTTTTAAAATGTTATCTACCCACATTACACATTTATAGAAGTCATCGAACTTAAAGAGTATTTCTTTTTTTTCACAAATTCTCTCTTCTGAATTATTTGCCAAGAGATCTTAATTATTGTCAAAATATTGAACAATAAAAAATATTAAAAAATAAAAGGAATCGAAGCAGTCCAGTCATTATATTACACAGATTCATCTACAATTCATTTATAGAACAATCGTGTATTTCGTTAAATGGATCGTAAGTAGGCGAAGCGTTAACGCGTCATCAGTATGTGGCCGATTGAAAATAGAAAGAGCATTCTAGTTCAATGACCTGTAGTTATTTACAAATAAAAGAGCTCATACGAATAAAATGGCATTGCCAAAGTATAATATTTTGTCATTTTTTTTCATTTCTATCTTATTAATTCTTACTAATCATTCGAACTATTATAAAATTGGTATGATAAATTTGTGTTAATTATTATATTTGATCTTTTTTTTATAAAAATGATTTTAATATTTGTATATATATATATATTCTTTATTTTTCGATTGCATAAGATAGATTAGATAACAAAGTAATATGGAAATAAGTGTACCTCGAGCACTTAATCATATTCTTTTGCATATTTCTTTATGACTTGGAAATTGAGAGGTCAAACTAATTTTCCATTGTTAAACATTTTTTAACTATTTTTCAACTAATATAATAGAAATATCCTTTAACAAAAATACTTTGAAATGATATGGATACTACTTATATTATTTAAATCTATAAGAAATATATTCGTCTGTGATGTAAATTTATAAATATATTATCGCAATAGATACGAATTACTTTGTTTATGATTTATAATACGATATATATCCGACGAATAATCGTGTCATATGAATTATTAGATGCGTATATAACTGTCATTGTTTTTACCTTGTTCAACATCTTTTCTCAACTTGATAAAATACTTCAAAAATATAGCAGAATAATAGGGATCAAGTAATTATATGAATACGCTGTTTTATACAACCAGTTTATTATTATGTCACAGATGGTATTACCAATAGTGTTAAATCATTGTTCAATTCTATAAATAATCATTTGGTATTTATCTGCTGTATAATAACGCTAAATTAATTGTCTATATTACTGGCACTTTTGAAATGGCACTAATTCCTAATGAAATTCTATATATTCTTGGTGTGTGTGTGTGTGTGTGTGTGTGCGTGGGTGTGTGTATGTATATACTTGTATCTGTATGAATCTTCTGTATCGATGAAAACGTATAAGTGTAGTTTAAAAAAATATTCAATTTTTGATTTTCTAACGACTAAGTGTGCATTAATGCCGACCGATGTGTTAACTCAACGATCATTGGTTCTCTCAAAAATTGATTATTTTTGATGTATATTTATTACAACTATTATTTTAATCTACGCAATGGCAAGCGTTCACAAAAAAGTGTAATCGCAAAATACATATTGTATGTGTCACGCTATAAGCTTCTGTAGATAAATAATCAACACATTTTAGTTCATGTCGTATTGGTTTCATATGTATTGGATAATGTGCCGATTATTGTATAATACTTATGGTTAGCCCGATCTACTGTAAAGAAACATTATTTCTTTTTATTTTCTATAATGCATAAGTGTGTGTATATGTAATAATATGGAAGCACAAACTATGTATAGTTTACGCTCTACACGAGTCTTTTTATACGCTATATTTTTCCTAGAACTACTCAGACTTCATTTAACACTTATTTTCAATTACAATTCCACTTATAAGAATAATATTACGATACTTTGTTATATGTGTGTGTTATGTATATATATATATATATATATATATATATATTATATATATATTATATATATATTATATATATATTGTATATATATATATATATATATATATATATATTATATATATATTATATATATTATATATATTATATATATATTGTATATATATATATATATATATATATATATATATATATATATATATACATATGAGCTACAACTTCTATATCATTTATTTTTTCTTTTTTTTTTGTTTCGTTTTTAATACTGCTTCATTCTATAATCAAACTCATTTGTTATATTTTGTAACAGTTTGCAAATGTGGCCCTTGTTCACTTTTTTCCCTAACCTATATTATTCTAATTTGACACAAAGTTTTTATTCGTAAACAGTCTTAATATTTATGATAATATTTGCATTGTGCTAAAAATGTGTTGGAAGCTACAAAAAATGTTCTCATTTGCACGAATGTCTTTGGTCATTATACATTATACATTATATATAGAGTATTCTCTGTAAAACTGATAATTGACCTTTGAGGAGGTTAAAGAAGTAAATATTTTAAGATAAAAGAACTATCATCTCAAAGCTTTATCCTTTTTCATCTTATCAAAGATCAATTAGTAGTTCTGCGACACCCTATATATAAAATTCATATAGAACCACTATGTTATTTCGATTACATACACCTTACTTTTTTGTAAAGGACGATTCAATATATTATTTTATCATTAATTTTAGACCTTGTGTTACTGTCGATAAAATTCAGTAATTGTGTCGGATGCTTCTCAACTAATATCATTTTTTTGTATTTATCTACTTTCTAGTAAATTGTAAATTTCATAACCAGTATAAAAAATCATTAACATATCACAGCTCTATAAAGAGAAAATTGTATATCCATTATTATTATTATTACTTCTACATTCTTAGTTCATATTCAACATACTATCATAGTAATGTGTAAGCATACTATATTATTTATAATTATATCAATTATAATGTTATTCAAAACTATTCTAATGTAATTATAAATATATACATATATATACATACATACATATGTGTGTATGTATGTATGTATATATGTATGTGTATGTATATATTTGGCAGTGAACATTAAAATAAAAATGAAACATAATTCATTGTTATTTACTTCATAATTATATAACATAAACATATTTAGAATACTATCTTAAAATGTCTTTAATATACTTCAATATACTTCAAACTTTAATATACTTCAAATTTTTACTACTGGCTATGAAATTTCAAACCTACTTGTGCATTTAGTAATCAAAATTAATTATGACTATTGGAAGTATTTTTGTTTTTATCAATGATAATTGTGTATGCTTATGATATTCTGTTACAACAAACAAGAATACATATTTTCTGAGCAATAAAGTATATTATCAACATTATCAACATTATTAACAATAGTATATTAAATTTCAAAATTAAAAAAAATAAAAACATATAAAACTATCATCACTTTGTGGATTAGCACCGTTAATCTCAAAAGTAAAGCTTTTTTTTCTGTATAATACAGCTAAAAAAAGTTTATAAAATTGTTTCTATCAAATACTGTGTTCAGCTAAAACTCCATTCTTCGTTTTGGTTACTCACAGCTCATCTCATTAAATCTGCTGCCCTTTGCCTATCTCTATGTACTTCTCGAGGATGCATTCTTTTACGATGTGAAAAACAATTACCAGAACTGGCAAACGCTTTTGGACAATAAGGACATTGGTAAGGCCTTGCACCAGTATGTTGATTTATATGAAATTTCAAATCCTGATTCCTTTTGAATGTTTTATCACAAAGAGGACAGGCATGTGGTCTTAAGTCGGAATGCGTTATACTATGAGCTCGAAGAGTTGAATTAGTTGGATAAACTCTTCCACAAACATTACATGGAAATCTAATTTCACCATGATATTCTTTATGCCTGCATAAATTCGATTGTGTTTTGAAACTAAAACAAAATCAATTTTAATTAATATTTGTTATACAATAAAGAAATTTCTTTGCGTTTAATAAAATTATATCTATTGATGTCAAACTTACATTCGGCCACATATATCGCATCCATATTTTCCTTTAGGCCTGTGAGTTTCTAAATGTACTTTCAAGTTTCCTTTTGTAGAAATCTTTTTACCACAAATTGGACAAACGAAGTTAGCAGAGGAATTGTTATCAACATTCGTATGTAGCACGCCATTTGTTGAATGAACTTGTTGCGATCTCAAAACAGATTTCCCATCCAAGCATCTTTCTCTTGGCAGATGTGACCATAAATGATTTCTTAAACCAATCTCTGATATGAAGGATCGTGTACATATCGTACATTCATATTGTTTTGTTGTATTTAAATTATCTTCATTAGTTTCTTCATTAAGTTTATTGTCACTAGATTCCCTTGTTTTCTGCTTTTCTATTTCTATCTCTCTATAATTAAAAATTCATTAATTTATTTAAAAGAAATCTATATGTTAATTTATTCGTGCTGCGATAGTTCCGATAATTTACTTGTTTGTTAAACTCGATAATTCAGAAGAATGAGTTCTGATCGCACTTTCTTCAAGGTCTGATGTATCTGATATATCTGAAGCCGATTGTTCCATACAGCATTGTAAAAATAACATTGGATCTACTTTGACTTCCATTTCTTCCATACTTGGAGTATGACTTTTTTCTTCTTCAGATAGATGGGATAATTCAGATGGTCCAAGTGGTTCGCCTTCTGCTAAAATTTCTATGGCACCCTAGAATAAAATCTTTTTGTTATAAGACAGTCAAATAAAAAAGTATTATGAATGTGCAATATAAATTGAAATATATACTTTTGTAAGAATTGAATGTAATAATCCTCTATCTTCTACTTTTTTAGTAGTTTCTTGTATATCCTTTAAACTTTGTTCCTCCATATCTTGAACAGAATTTATATTGTCCAAATTTTCATATAATTGTAACCTTAATCTTTCTTGTGTACAATATGCCATCATTGCAAAACGATGTACTCCTTCCAATCTTTTGATGCACGTTAAACAAACCATCTTTGATAATTTATCTTCAGAGGATACCTGAAAAAAATTAAGTAGTATACTCTTCTGTTATTTAACAATATCAAACAAAGTTAATTGTGCGAATAAAAAAACATTGTATTGGGAAATAAGATATAATTCATTTAAAAAATTGATTTACTTTTCTACATGAAAATATTCTCTTTTTACACATTTATTTATTACACTTTTTAATTACCAATTCACTTGCAATAATAATTATTTTTAAGTATTATATAAATTTAATGTTTATTCTATTAATTGTCATTTTTCTAAATTATGATAATAATTTTTTTCTAAAGAAATTTTTTTTTTCAAAATACCTTTAGATTTTATTAAATTCATAATTAAAATTTTCTTATCGAGTATTTTTATTTTAAATATCATAAATATATGAAACACATTCGATGTTCTATTTTTTCTGCATAAAATATTTCATAGACGTCATATCTGAATACGCCGCCGCTTCATTCTCAAATATTTATAGACGCATCGCTTTATACAGCGCATGCAGTACATTATACTTATGGCAATCAATAAAATGCTAATTTTTAACACTTTTACAGCACTGTACAAAATGGTTGCCATGAAGCTCATTCATCGAGCAATAATATTTGTCATATTAATTTTTCGTATTTATAAATACATATTATTTAATATTATCAAAAGGAATATTAATTTTTTACGAAAGACAGATGCAATTTTTCTTTTTTTAAGAATTTATATCAAAATATTATCTCTTTTGATTGTTTTTGCAGTAATATGATTATTAATTAAAAAATTAATGGATTCATATCGTTTCAGTATATTTTAGAAAATTTACCGGTAAAAACTACAATTTATTATTAATTTTTATAATGATAGATTTTATCCTATGAATATCAATGAAAGCGATTATTATATTTGATCACAAAAATAACACTATTTATTTGTCAATTAACAATAATTAACGATCATTACGATCGAACGCATTCCTAATTCCCACTTGAGTCTCCGTCGAGTATAATGCATCGGTACATCGACAGTACCGACATAAGGCAAGAAATCGTAAAGTAAAATTTTCCGGAATTATTTATAACTAAAAATACGTTTTATTGTTTTTAATTAAGATAAGTGATAATAGCGACAGAAAAGATTGCCGATCGCAGGTTTTGAAAACAAAAAAAGAAAAAGAAAATAAAAAAATAAAAAGCAAGACGAACTTGAACGTTCATCCGATCGTGAATGTACCACCGAATCGCACGTGGGAATCGTACACACAACTATGCATTATCTTGGTGGGCAAGACGCGCGCGCGTCCAGCGGTCGAGATTTTGAAAAAGATCCCGGTAACACACAACACGCACTCAGCCTCGGTTCATTGCCTCTTGGGCCGATTCGATCGGTTACTTTTTTCCTCGCAAGGTCGCACAACTTACCAAGATGTAGAGATATTTGCGTATTTTGGTCTGCAGGTAGTGCCGTCTACCATCCTCGGTGAAAATGTTGATACCGTTGGTTCCAGTAACGTCGCACGCACAAATCCGACAGTGCAATCCGTCTTCTCGATCGCGCTCGAAATCGCGACCGGCTGTACCCATTTCAAAAAGAAAATAAAAGAAAAAAATATAAAGACACTAAGAAATTATAACGAAAGATTATGATCCTTCCCCTCACCGCACGATGCGACGAGATATCGAAGCGTGGTGCTCACCGCGAAGCGAACATATCTCTTTTTCTCTTTTTCTCTCTTTCTCTCTTTCTCTCTTTCTTTCTCTCTCTCTCTCCCTCTCCCTCTCCCTTCTTGCTCTCTTTCTCTATTTCCTTCTCACCCCCTTATTCCACCCTCGTAGTATCTTATTTGGTATGTTTCGCTCTTTTTTTCTCTTTTCTTTTTCTTTTTTTCCTTCGGGAGACGCGGTTAGTCGTTCAACCCCGGAAGACGACCAGTTACGTTTTTCACCGTTGCATCTTAATGATGTGCCAACGCGTACCTCCCCTCCCCCCCCGCGACAAAAGAGAGAGAGGGTTGATTATTCTAACGATCCTCCTTTTTTTCTTCCTCTCTTTTCCCGTTTTCCTTTTCCCCCTGTTTTTTTTTTTTTTTTTTTTTTTTTTTTTTATATATACTTATGAGTCTCTCGGATTGGGTGAGATTACTAACAGCACGCGGCTCGTCGACGCGTTAAAAACGACGTCGGCGCCGGGCGTCGGCGTCTACCTCCGAAACGAGTGCTCGATACAAAATATATAATAGCATTCGTCGATTTGAAAAACATATGTATATAACCGATTGTTTTATTTATGGATTTCTCTCGCCGCCGCGCCGCGACGCACGCGTTCGAAGTCAAAACCATCTCGCATTTCCTCTTTCGTCAATTAAACGCGCCTTTTCCACGCCTTTTCCATTCCTTTTCCTTCTCTTCCATGTTATCACCCTTTTTATACTTCGCTACATTGCCCCGGGATATTCACCTTTCGAGAATAGATATATACTATCGTCGAAAATAAAGAATAAAATGTACCGACGCGGCTGCTCTCTTAATTGGTCCGCCATTTTCCATTTGATTCGCGACTTTGACCTTTTTTCATATTTTGGCCCTTTGATTCATTGAGAAAAGAACTTCTTATTCTATCGTCGATCTTCCTTATTCGATCCTTCGTTCATTCACTTGATCTACAATCTCCTGTAACTCGATTTTCCCTCCGAATTTTCGAAATCTTTCCGCCGAGTTCCAATCTTTCCCGCCATTTTACGGAGTCTGTATCACTACGCCGAACAGAAGCGCCTCGCGTACTTTACCCCTTACCCCTTCACCAGCACCCGACATCCTCCCTTTTATGCGCGAAAAATAGTCCCGGTTATTCGCGAACGAACAGCCTCCCCCTCGGATATGTCCCGTTTAAAAAAATCAATACTTAATAATTAGCAATTAATACACGCGCCACGTACGTCTTCTCCCCTGTCGCTTCTCCTCCTTTCTCTCTTTCCAATGGACCCTTTTCTCTTCTTTTATTTTGATGTATCGTTCAAAAACAACATATAATTATTATTTTTAATTTTTTCTTTTAATTTTTCTCTTTCCTTGTTTTTTATTTCGTTTTATAATATATTTTATAATATATTTTATAATATAATTTATGTCGTTTTGTATCGTTCAATTCCATTAGATTTTAAAAATATTAAAAACTTTTCATTGAATTATTGTTACGTTATACGAAGTGCACATAGTACTTACGATCTCTTTTATCAAAATTGTCCCAATTAAAACTTGTTATTTTGTAACAATTAAAACCAAGGTATTTTTAATAATTAAATAAGATTTTGATTTTTATTTGATAGAATTGTGTCGTATTGTATAAAATTTGGTTTTATAATTTAAATCTCGTTATAATTTAATTTCCGTCAGGATGTGGATTAAATAACGGTGTAAATAACAGCGAGAAAAACGAACAAAATATAAGCAAAATTCTTATAAATAATTACATTTATTAGGATCACTATTTAGAGTTAATGTAACACATGTTAATTTTTTATGAAAATGAAAATATTCTTCAAAATATCCTACTGTGTAAAAGATCTATCTAATGTGTTTAACATTTTGCTTTATTTTGTATCGGTAGAAACAATTTAAATTCTGCTGGTAATTCATCTTCAGAATATAATCTATCGGAAAAGTATACCCTACGTATTCGACAATTTGCATGAATTTGAACTCTTAAAGTTTCTACGTAGTTCGTTCCATATGCTCTGCGAGTGAAGTCTGCTAAATTAAACTGTATTTGATTCCATCCATCGTCCAGTCTCATTGGCATAGTACATATGAATGGTTTTACTCTAGTTGTTGATTGATAATTACTTGCACGGAATCGACGTCGTACATTTTTATCATCAATAACCTAAAATAAGAAATGTTTTTTGAAATACATGCCAGAATGATCTTAACTTAATATGATTTATATTGGAATTGTTTTTACCTGAACTTCAAAAGTAAAATATTTCTTCAAATTTTTTATAATCATTACCAAAAATGGCAATTTTATGCCTAACGTTTTCCTTGGATCTGCTGGGCATGTTATATAGGTGGTACTCACATTACTGCCCAATATTTCTAATACAAGACTTTGTATATCATTATCCGTAATTCTTTTAATGTGACCATTTCTCACTTTTTTATCCCATATTTGTAATGGTTTACTACCAATGCTATACAAAATGGATAAAAAACCACTTTGGAATGTGTTTTTGAACATATTTAATGATTCTTGTAGATTTTTTTATTCGAAATTTCTTTTAAAATATGTGTTCTCTCTTAAGAATGTTGTACTTAAAGATATGTTCAATCGTAGGTATTAAAATTTCGTCTCAAATTACAGAAAAAGTAACCTAACCTTTTTCCATTATAAAATCTCACGTTTTCAAATAATTCTCTGTATGGATAATCAATCAAAGAAAATCATTTTTATTGTACGTATGTAGACAAGTAAATTTATATAATCACTTAACATTCATACATTTTTATTAAAAATAAATATTATCCTCAGTGAATTTTCTTTTCTCCAACGAAATGTAGCGGATATTGTATGTATAGAACTCTGATTGCCGGTACGGTATTTTAACAGCTTAGCTCACTAATAATGAATATCAATCGATAAATCTATACTTGCGAATAATTTCACGAAATGTTGATATATATTTCAAATCTATGAATATACGAAATGATTAAAACGAAAGTAAATTACAGAAATCGAATTAATATAGGTGCATAATTAGGTTAATATTAATAATTTGTAAACATTGATCATGGAAATTACGAATGATATTATGATAATATTATAAAATAATATTTCCAATAAACAAAAAAGTAAAAAAGAAAAAGATTGCATAGCTGACAAAACATTTATTTTTCTTTGTTGCATCTATTTAATTAGATGCTACATATGTATATACGTGTATATACACATATATGTATAGCGTGCCATCAGGGAAGTAATGAGTAATGATATATTCGTCGAAATCAGCGTAATTAGCATTAGTGTATGAACTAATCTTGAACATGCAATTATTTAATAACGATTAATTATGAATTTTCGCGGTTAAATTTCGAACAAAAAGAAAAAAATGAGAACGAATTTCAATAACATTTAACGTCGCGAGAGCGGCGACACCGGTCGATGATGGACCATCCCACGTACAGTCGATATCCCATACATATGTATATGCATTCATAGGTCAGCAGCTGACGATGGCGAGTGGTGGTGGTAAAACGATAATGCCGTGAAGTTCGTGTGTCGGTGTTTATCTTCTTGACAAATTTTTTCACACAATAGGCCCATAAGATTGGTTGAATTTTTTTTTCTTATATACGATAAAACATTCAGGATTGTGGCCTTAGTGCCATATTTATACTGGATGAATAAGCAGTCGCTATGTGGGTAAAGCCAAAGGAGGTTCTACTGGCTAATGCTTTGTGGTAAACTTTAATGTTTTACACTTGAAGATGGACCTGCTGTTTATAATATATGTCAATTACAGCTGATAGCAGATCTTTTGCGTTTTCGACTAAACAAATCGTTTGTTCTTTCTGTCAGATTGTGACTTCTCTGTCATTATGTTCCATGTTGTATTTGAAAATTTACGATTTATGATTTAATTTTTGATTTAATTCGGATAACGAAATAATACCGAAGATATATGTATTTATTTTTATTATTTCGTGCATAAATCTCTTTAGCATATGTCAATATGATTGTTCGTGCGTTTATGTATGATATGTGTACGAACGTAAATCATACAATCGCAATAAAAATTCCGTTACATTTAAATATGATAAATATTTGATCTAAAAACATTAATATCCCAATAAGTTTTATTTAAGCAAGAGATATAAAATTTTCACGTTAACGCGACAGATGTGTTGACGTGTTAATAATAAAAGTGCGAACTTGATATTTCGGTAGGACAAAAATTAGCGCGTTTTTCGAATAATGACAGTTACTTTAATAATGTTACTACTTTACTTAACGAATATATTAATATTCATTTATTTTTGACATTACTTACTTTATTCAATTCACCATTGAATTTTATTTATAATATATAATTTATTTTCACTATTAAATTGTGATTACATTAGTGATTCATTTATTAATAGGGTAAATGAACAGACAACGGTATATTTTGTTTTACAACGCCGAAAAGGTCATGGAAAAACAAAAGGCCTTACTTCCATATTGGTAGGAACATTGGACAGTGTATTTGATACCAAACCAGCACCATTCAGAATATTGCATCAAACGCCGTCGTCAGAAGTTTATTGGGGTAATAAAATAATTAATAACAAATTATTTATTATTTGAAACATAGATTATAACGAATATTGTGTGTATACATAAGTATGTAACATATTATTCTAATAAATCAATATCATTAAAAATGATTACAATGAGTTATTTTCTAATAAAAAGTATTATGTTAAATGTTAAAATTAGAAGTTGAACATGTTTTATATTGTAGTATGAAAATCTGACAAACATATTTTCTCTTTTACTTCATAGAAATATCATGTTCTTTGACTCATGAAGAAATTTTACAAGATTGGGAATGGCTTCATTCGAATTTAATGGATACACTCCAATCGTTTGACACAGAAGAAGATATAACAGAATTTGTTTGTTGTAAAATTCAATCTGTTATTGCAAATAATATTCCAGATTGTCAATTTGCTGATGGTAAATTATTATACTATATCTTTTTTAATTGTACGCATTTAAATAAATAAGTTTATTTGTATAAGTGTATTTATATAAGAAAAGAAATGTGTTGTTTGCAGAAGAAGATCCAGCAGCATTTAAGACAGTATCTTTTAAATTTCATCAGTTATTTAATATACCAAAAGAAGACAAATTGGTCAATTATTATTCTTGCAGGTATTTATATTTACTTAATTAATAAAATTACAAATCTAATGCCAGATAATTTCATATTTCTTTTTCATAGTTATTGGAAATCTCGAATACCTAGGCAAGGATGGCTATATCTGTCTGTAAATCATATGTGCTTTTATGCTTATATATTAGCAAGAGAGACAAAATTAGTTATAAGATGGGCAGATATTATTGAATTGGGTAAAACAAATTCCATATTAATTCCAGATAGTATACGTGTTGTAACACGCGATAATAAAGAGGTAAAAAGTTCTATTTACATGT